CTGATGTCTGCTGGTGGGAACTGGACTTTGTATTTTGCGCTGTTTTCGTCTGCCACAAAGTAGCCTCGACTGACTGTGATGGAGAGGTCAGTGATATTCCATGGGTGAACTAGACGACTTACTTGGATATAGCTGCTGCCAATTCTCATGGACTTCTTGCATCCTTGTGGCATTCAGCAGCATCTGTCGATCCGCGTACACGAGATCTGGCCCGAAACCTGCCGCATTGCCGAAAGTGACAACTTTTTGGGGAACTAATCGTGATGGCAGTGGTTGTTAGCGATGTTCATGAAGAGAGGGCAAGTCGGGGAGTTACACACTCACTGGCCCGTAGGGCAATAATTCATTTCTTGGAAGAACTCTATCATGAATGACGATTCCGCCTAGTATGATGATTCCAACTGCGAGAGCGGCTTCTCCCAACAACCTCCAGATTTGGCGTTTGGGGCCAGCGCGTCGTATTCTGAGAGTCTCATCGGTTAGGCTGAGGTCCTCAGACGACAAGTCGGATTCATCGCGAAAAGGCTTCTCCCACTTTCCGGGCATAACTGTGTAATTAGAACGAGGCGAGGAAGCTGGTTCAAGAGGTAAATGAAGAACAGTAGCTTGAATTTTGCAAGACAGTCATGGTGAGAGCTGTGAAGTACTCTCTGTAAGACTGTCGTCTATACCATCCTCGATGCAGAGATGGCATCAAGAGAGAGTGATATTCATCTAACCGTTTACCTCGCCCTAGACCCATGTCGTTATCAACCCCCGCATCTTCATGATAGACGTGTGCCGAATCCCGATCGATAAGCAACAGGATCCGGTAAGCTAGCGCATGTAAGACGATCGAACGCCCGTCTTGGCCAACCAACATGCAGCCGTTCCGGTCGCCAACCACACACAACTAAGCAACATGCAACTTCAAGAATAAATTTGACAGGCTTACTTTTGCCTGAACTGTTGCCATCTTATCAGGATCAAAGCTGAAGTCTCGTCTCTTGACAGCTCCAGAAGCTGGATGGTCCCCTCTTGATCCTCTTGATCCCACGAATACCACCTGCCATGCCAAGCTTTGGCTCACCTCATCTGGAGCCCAACAATCATGCACAAATCCCTGCCGCCTCTAGACGCGGCATGGGACCCGACCCTGCAGACCGACGATGGAGAGGAGTACTGCTGGACGCCGCTACAGCTCGCCGCCAGAAGCGGAGACCTGGACCAAATCCGCGCCATTCTTGCCGCCGACCCGACGGCCGTCAACGAACCCCCGCACGGGTACTACGGACAGACGGCCGTCCAGGCTGCATGCATGCACGGCCACGAACAGGCCGTGCAGATGATGGTCGACGCCGGCGCCGATATCCACTTTTGCGGAGGCAACAACTTCCAAAGGAACGCCTTGCAGATCGCCTGCGGACACGGCAACGAGAAGGTCGTTGATATCCTGCTCAGCGCGGGGGCCAGAGTCGACGAGGTGTCATTGAAGCCTGTGCCGCATCATTCAGGGTACAGGTCACCAACAACCTCATCGTCGTCGTCGGTGGTCGTGACGCGGTATAACGGAAGAACGGCACTCCAGGCAGCAGCAGAACGAGGACACGAGCAGCTCGTCAGCCGACTGCTGCAACTGGGAGCCGACGTGAATGCCCCGCCATCACCGACGGCGGGGTACACGGCACTACAAGCCGCAGCGGGGGGCGGTTACTTGGCGATAGTGAAGCTTCTTCTCCAACGCGGGGCTGATATCAATGGGGCCTCGGCAAAGTACAAGGGCTACACGGCTCTTCAGGGCGCGTGTCTGCGAGGTCACCTCGAGGTCGCCGACCTTCTTCTTCGGGAAGGCGCTGATGTCCACGCCGTGGGAGGCATTTACGGGGATGGGATGGCTTTGCACGCGGCAGCTGAGACAGGTCGAGTGGATGTGATTGAGCGCTTGTTGGCGGCCGATGCTGATGTGAATGCTTGTAGCTTCAAGGGGCGAAGAGGGCAGACTGCGCTGCAGAGCGCTGCGGTTGGAGGTCACGAGGAAGCGATGCAGGTTCTGAGAAACCATGGTGCTGTAGGAAAGACGGGGGGAGGAAGATTCTTGTTTCCTTGAGCAGTCATGTATTGAGCAGAGACTGTATAGTTGTGTATCGCATGTTGATCGACTGGAAGCTCGATAGCCCAACATCAGTTTCACTCGCCTCCATGTTCTCGAGTAGCCTCCACCATTGACTAACACTACCTAATCTCCGAGCGAGATGATGTCCTCCTCCTTGACCGGAACAATGCCAGCCTTGACAGCACGGTCTCCTAGAGAAATGATGTCTTCCTCCTTGACAGGCACGATGCCCGCCTTGACTGAGCGGTCTCCCAGAGAAATGATGTCCTCCTCCTTCACTGGCACGATACCAGCCTTCACTGCTCTGTCGCCGAGGGAAATGATGTCTTCTTCCTTGACAGGAACAATTCCAGCCTTGACTGCCCTGTCGCCAAGAGAGATAATGTCCTCCTCTTTGACAGGGACGATTCCAGCTTTGACGGAGCGCCGTTTGTAGCTGTCTTCGAGAGTCTCGTCCTCGTGGCGTATCTTCGCCACTCCGGCCATGGCGGCTGTGGCAAGGAGGGCGGTGAAGGCGAGCGTTAACTTCATGGTGTAGGAGTTGTCTACCCGCAAAGTACGTGAAGTACTTGTTGTACTAGTAGTGATGTTCTCCTGATTAAGTAGAGTAAAGGTTGAGGCTAAGAAAGATGTCTTGACAGTATCGTATGATCTATGAGACTGAAGAACTGGGACATGTGTATATAATACCAGAAGAAATGTTCGGACGGTCAGACCGCATATTGTCCATATGGACCTTGCTCTGGGACTGCGAGTGAATGCTGTCATGTACTGATTCGAGTATGACTTCATGATTAGACATATAGCGGGGTATGAGCCGGCCCCGAACCGACACATCGTCGCTCGTGTAGCAATCACCAGTCAGGGTTAGCCACAACCTGGGATATGTCGTTCAGGATCATGCATATTGGCACCCACCGTTCCGCATTTGGAATCAACTATATTTGCCTATCGACTCTGAAATTTGGATGAATATGAAGATCCAACACTAGTGCTCATCTGGTTATGTTTCCCTCGAGTGGGACAATGATATATGCAGCTCGTACCCAAAGCCGCTCACTGTTTGGGACTTTGGTCAGTCACGTCATGTTGGCCACCGTCTGATGTGTTGTTCAACCGCCGGGGATCTCAAGAACTTGTCGGATACCCGCCTCAAGAGATACCGAGAAGGACCCATCTGAATGAAAGACCGCTAGCCCTGGTTTCTTGATTTCAGATGATCATGAAGACGCCAGTGACAATTTTGAAGTAATCGTCGATTTCAGTTGAGTTCACCTGGTCTGTGCGGTGTTGTTGCTGAAGCAATGGAGAGAGTCGGCAGCCAATAGACAGCGTAATTCAAGAGGGGCACAGCTGAAAGCGGTAATATTTGGGATTGGGCTTCTGAGGTGAGGTGCTCAAGCAGTGCCAAGTCCACCAACCACAAACAGCAGCCAACAGTCACCTTTCCCTTCATTATTCAACCCTCCCATCAACCATGAGGCCCAACCGACTACTCCTGCAGAACGGCGTCCCGCTCGTGGCGGAGGAAATCGTCGTCCTAGGTATGCTCGGATCCATCCACTGCATAATCATGCGAGTGCAGTGCAGCGTATGGCCGTACTCGAGCAAATCCTCATCGACAGGCTTATTCTTGATCACGGCGTGATGAAGTCTTCGCCACAAGTAGAGGCAGTGATAGATGTGATAATCTCCGCTGGGATACACCTTATCAAACTCCCCTCGCAAGACAAGCTCTGAGGGGTAGACTCTGGTATGCTCCTTGTCCTCGTACCAGGTGAAGTTGACGTACGGCTGTTCGTCGAGCATGCCTTCGAGGGCCGTCTGGTCGAAGCATTCGGGAGCATACCAGCGTGATGCCATGACATCAAAGTGACAGCCAAGATCCTTGGCCTCTTGCCAGGTATCGCCGCACTGCGTGCCTGGAGCCTCGATGCCGTCAATCATGGCGACGGTTCCGGCGACTGGTTTGGCGTTGTTGGGTTGTTGCGGTGCTGGCCTATGCGCGATGATTACGACGATCGAAGCACCAATTCCGATGCCAAAGACGAGGCTCAATCCGTTCAGCAAGATTATGAGGAATATGGGGGAGAAGAACCTCGATTTGCGTCCAGATTCGGGGCCATTGTCGCTCTCGTCGAGCTCCTCCTCGATGGAGGATTTGACATCAGATGTCTGAGAGACTTGGCTGTAACTGTGTTTTGGTGCCATTGAGTTTGTAAAGAAGTGAGATGGTTGGGACCGAAGATTCTATTCGAAGAGCGTACCGAAGGGGCCCCCAGAAGAAGAATTGCTGATGGCTTAGAACCGCGGCCTCGGCATGGGAACTTCATGGTTCGCGCCACCTTTCTATTCCTGGACATATCATTCGAATCACATGGCACTCGGAAGTCCATCCAAGTCCATACTATTGTGTTATCGGCTTCATGCATCTCGGTCCACTCAGGTAGGTGACAGTCCGCATAGCATCAATGATCCTTCCTCCGGGCCCACGACCGACCCTGGTATGTTTGCCAAGTCACCGTGCAGATCACGGAGGGGCATTTGGACTGACTCGGTAAGCAACTATGCTAGACCCGAAAGCCTATCAGCATGTTTGAGACAGACGTAGACCAGTCACCCTCCTCAAGGGCGTAGACAGATCCTCCCAGGTCGCGATCTCTCACATCAACATCTCCCTCAACCAGAAGTCTTCCAGCATTGGTCTTGATACACTGACCACGCTGAAAATGGCGCCCAAAGAGAAATGGTGAGTCTAGGATGCTTCTTCGAAGAGAATCAGGGGCTAATACAATCATCCAGGCATAGTACACACGACGAAGAGCAGTCTCTCATGACCAAGAACTGTGACGACGACTCAGTCTCTTCGACTACGGGGTTTCGAAGCCACAAAGCTTCACGATATCGCCTACTATTCAGGCCCTCGTTTTCAACCTTAAAGGACTTGATCTTGATTGCATTCGCAATCTTGGGCTTTGTTAGCCTCCTCCAGTCTCCAACAAACTTCCACCCTCACACCCACTCGGAGGGGACAGCAACACCGGACAACTTGCACGCGGCACCCACAATCGCATCTTGTGATTGCGGAAACTCCACCACCGAAGCAGTCACTTTGGGCTGCAAATATGACTCCCTGGCCGCTGCTTGGCTTCCCGAGCACTGTCGGGACGACGAGCTGACGGCCGAGTTTGAGCGCTCCGGGCCCGGCCCCGATGGGCAGTGGACGTACTGGGCTGATACCGCGCACACGCAAGAAATCAGCGTCGAAGAGATTGCGAAGATGGCAGATAACCAAGAGGAACTGCGGTTTCATATGTCTGGTCATTGGCATGTCCTGCATTGTATTTTCTACTGGAGAAAGGAGTACAGGGCGCGCTTCAATGGCAAGATGGTAGAGCCGCGGTCGGACAATGAGAAGCATATCAAGCATTGCGGCAAGATCTTCTTGGATCCAGGGTATGGTACTGTGGCTGGGGTTGCGTTGAACACTGATATGGAGTAAGAAGGACTGTTTTTGATTTCCAGCACTTCGCGAACACTGGGCGTTGATTATCACGTACTTATGCAACATATCCTGAACTTGTAAAGTTAAAGATGTCCTGTTGAATACTTCGTAGATAGATTCAAATCAATCACAGCAAGCTATAGGTTGATGTTTCCACCGTCAAGACGTGCATGCCACACTGTCCTGGCACCGCATACCTTGCCTCTTCCTATATAAACAGGGCAAGTCCACTTACTACCCGCATATCATAGTATCACACTATAGCCATCATCAAATCCTCAACATGATATCTCAACAAGAATTGAAACTTCCGCCGCCTACTTGCAAGTATCAGCCGCTCAATGACAACCCTTCAGACAACCCGTCTGCGATAACTACAGGCGCTACCACCAGACGGCCAAGCCGACTTGTATTGTTCTCGCTACTCGCAACAGTCACAGTACTCGGAAGTCTACTTCTGACTCTATTAATCCTACACCTACGTCTTCTACAATCAACAACACCAAGGCAGAAACTCAGCTGCGGCAGCAGCGTCACCGAAGCCCAGCAAGCAGGATGCACCTTTGACGCTCTCGCAAAAGCCTGGCTGCCCGCCGCCTGCCCCCGCTACGGCCTAGCCGAATTCGAAGCCGCGGGCGCAGCGCATAACCAATCTCGTTGGCGATACTGGCGGGACCAAGCCGGAGAAGAGCAGCTCAATATGGAAGACCTCGCTTCTCTCGGGAAGAACGACAAGTGGTGGGGCACGGAGCGGGAACACTTGACGCACTGCGCGTGGATGCTGGTTCGAAAGGCGCGCGCAATTGCCGATGGTGGCAGGGTGGATAAGCTGACGGCGGACTTTGATCACTCCAAGCATTGTACCATGCTTCTGCTGTGGAGGGCGATGCAGGCTGAGGGGATTGACCAGATGGATACGAGCGGGAACGTGGTGTTTGGAGGATGCTGATGTTTGTTTTCGGGGGGCTAGAAACCGGTTGGTAGTCTTGAGAGAGAAAGTCTAATACAACTGCACGATACAGGACTTTTGCAACTTCATCACCTCGCATCGGCAACCTCGGCACAAGAGATGCTTGATATGATTTTCTCCAACAGAGTAGGCTATCTGCTGCTATCTGACTGGGTTGATGTATTCGTTGTGATTGCAGAGACAGCAGCCCTGAAGACGGAACTCCGACCCACCACGTTGGTGCAATCAAGCATCGACTGCATGCATTAGCTCGAAAGGCAAACCACCATTGTCGCAGCGAGGGACTTCCGTTATCGTTATATCGTTATAGACGAGCATAGTGAGAAAGCAAGGTATCGAAGAAGCGGGCTTGATCAAGTCTTGTGCGAGGATGAGGGGGATGAGAAAGATGAGAAGGAAGAAGAGGGGAGGACAGAATAGAGAGTAAGAGTCTTTTTGCAGCGGCTGTTGTATTGCCATCATCGTGAACCAGATCTTGCAGAGCAGGAGCCTAACAACCGAAGAGATCCAATTCACCCAGTTTCTCGTGAGTTCCATATTTGATTACTTGGGATGCTTCCCGATTGATCTGACACCTTACAAGACGCAACTCCGATATGACGACGGTTCCTCAAGCCGAACATGACGAGGACGAGCCTTTCCTCGCCGAGTCGCCATACACTGGCAAAGGACGAAAAGACCCAAGGCTTGAATCAGTGAAAAGGTTTCTCGGTCCTTTCCTCTTTGGCGTGATTGCCTCATCTATCCTGTGGGCGGCGCCACTGGTCATCCACCGGACATCAACGGCCATAAATGCTGTTGCGCCAGCTGTTCCTGTTATTACAAGCTGTGGCGTGAGCCCCGACGAAGCCAGGGCCAAGGGCTGCCATTTCCAGCTCTGGTCATACAGCTGGGTGCCGCACAATTGCTTCGACGCCGACTTACACAACGACTTCCTCAAGCTACATGTCGAGGAGGGCTGGAAATACTATCGCAACAACAATAGCGATGCAACAGCAGCAGCGAAAAGTTCGACGACTCTTGAAGAGGTCTCGTTGGATCAGGTCCTTCTTGGGGAAGGTGACGGCCTGTACTCGACCTGGGGTCAGCATTACTGGCACTGCGTCTTTTATCTGCGGCGCTTCTTCCGGGCCACGGGCGGCATCACCAACCGGGATCGGGATGCGCACCACAGCGTGCATTGCCAGGCGTGGCTGGCGGACCCGTTTGCGCATGGCTGGGAGACGGTGAATATTCACTTGGAAGTGGGATATCACGAGTGCGAAGGGGATGGACTGCGAGTGCTGGATAGAGAACACATCGTGTAAAGCCCTGGATGTAGAGGCGGGTACAGTGAGGTACCTGTTTAGTTAGTTAGTAACGAATCTTGCTCGTTCTGGGATACAGAAGAGCTACTCACGAACTTTAGTATGTAATTCGACGGGCCGATACCGCCATCACTTTCCCAACTCCAATAGACAGAATCATGCGTAATTACTCTCTCCGTCAAAGGTTTGCCATTTATGTAACATGGCCTTGATGTGTGGTGTCTGTGTCTGTGTCTGTGTCGCCTCTCTCTCTCTCTCTCTCTCTCTCTCTCTCTCTCTCTCTCTCTCTCTCTCTGCATGGAGGGGCAGAGAAGGCAAATTCACTGGGCGACTTGTATTTATAGCGGACATCCCCGCTGTGTTATCCCTTAACACCCACTCCCTAAGTCTTCGCTGTAAATCCGTCATCATCCACCCATCATCCAACACAGAGATGATGAACCTAAAGTCCGAGTACTTTCAGCTCCAAGGTAGAGAAGCGGACGACGAAACCTCTGGAGAAGAAACCGTGTATCCAGACATATCAGCAAGACCCTACAAGCTGACTTCTCTGACCACTCTTCTACTGGTCTATTGCGCCTGTACCACGTCACTCATCCTGGCAGCTGTGGCGTTTGCTCTCACCGCACCCAACGGTGTTTTCCATCACAATGCACAGTCCTGCCCTATCCAAATCGAGGCAGTCTTTGGTCGGAGTTGGGCTCACATGTCGCTGGATCCCAAGTACGACAACCTCTGGGAAGACGTTGAAGGAGATTCCGGCTCCATCATATTCAACCTCACGGATCCCGCCCAAGGCAATACGGGTATGAGCGCCACCATCGCCATGTAAGTACAACCTTCCCTTCAATCAAGAACGAACTACAACACACGTTAACAACGTTCTGACTATATTAAAGGTTTCATCAACTTCACTGCCTCTCAATATTTCGAAGCGTCCTGCAGGAAGCCCATCGGGGAATCGACCCGGGACTAGACTGGAACGACCACGATCACTGGCCGCATTGCCTCGACTATCTGCGCAAGGTATTTAGGATCTTAACACTGAGTCGCCAAGTAGCTTCTCTGAGCTAATGTGCTTCATGTAGGGCATCCTTTGCGCAGCGGATGGTACGATAGAGCAGCAGCCACTGCTGCCCAACGGTACACTCGCGCCTTTCATCGATGGTTCTCAGGATGTTCGGCATTGTGGCGATAACAGGCGCCTGATAGAGCAATTGAAGACGTACGGCAAGACTATTACTACTAAGCCGTTCCCGTAGATACAGCCGGAGGTGAAAGCTCATCTCATCTCATTTCCAGACAGATATCCAGGAGTCAAGAACACAGCCTGCACCCTACCTAGAACATGCGAGATAATCTGAGAACACCTCCCCCCTCCTTGTGATCATCGAGAGCCTCGACGGGACAGACACGTTGAGGCCAAAGCACTGCTACGTCATGACCAACCATCACTTACTGCCAGCGCAGTCTCTTGATGGAGATTTGTTCATGACTCTATCATGATACCGTGAGTTTGAATGACCCAAGAGTTGGCGTGGAAGGTATGATGAAATTTGGGCCGGGCTTACGAGGTACCACTGAGAAGAGCTGACTGTGTTCAACTGATTCGGCCGAGGACGCAGCTGAGATTACTTGTCTACTTGGTCTCCTTAGTCCCCATAAACTGCTAGCTATTTGAGACGATAGCCTATCAATCTCTTTCAATGGCATGGAGACCAAAACCAGCATACAACCTTTTTTGTGTTCCACAGCATCGTATGCGTTTGGTGAGTAATCGCAAGGGGAAGTACACTACAGTGAGGACGTGAGTTCAGAGGGAGTGTGGACCCACTTTTATGCTCGATATTGGCAGTAAGGTAGAAGAGGCCAGCAGCTGCGGCGGGCGGAGTCCCTGACTAATGCCGAAGGTATTCATGCAATCCGTCTCCTTGCCATTTGACACAACAGCATCACCCGTGACCACCGACGATGGCTGAAGCCCTAGGCATTGCCTCGGCGCTAATTGCCATAGTCACGGCAACGATACAGACAAGCCAGACTCTGTTTGATACAATACAAAGCTTTCGAAGTCACCAGCGATCGGTTCAGCAACTCTTGGATGAACTTTCGGCCCTGAAAGAGGTTCTCCAGTCCCTGGACACTCACATTCGGATCGAGGATGACGCGAACTTGGCGTCGCTCAAGACGCCTCTCCTCCAATGTCGTCGAGCTTGTGCTGATTTCGATAAGCTGATGATTGAGTGTACTAAGTATTCCGGGCGGCCGAGAACTAGCTTCCGAGGCTGGGTAAAAGTGAGATATATGGAGAGCGATATACACGGCTTCACCAGTATGCTAGCGGGTTATAAATCAACGATAGCCATCGCCCTAGGTGATGCGAATCTGTCAGTCACTACTCGAGATATCTTGTGTACTGTGCGTGCTAATGACACAAGGCAGTCGCTCTGCTACGGTCACCATTCAGCTGCTTAAAGAGTACAAGGACATGATTCACAGCACGACACAAGACCTGGAGGATCACCTCGAAGATATTAACGAGAAATTGAGCCGTCTTGCTTCAAACAATATACCTTCATCCCCGGCAGTTACCACCGATATAGATCGGATCCAGAACGAGAGGGACAGCACAGAGGTTTGCCTTCAAATCTGTGCCAAGGTTCAAGCTCACATCGACACCATGCGCCTTCGACCAATTCCAGGTAGTCCGCCATCTCAAGGGATGTCCTGCCGGGACCTGGGGCATGCGACTGTCATGACTCTATCGACTTTGGACCACTGCAAGCAGATGATAGCTGACAACGTGTCAGAGCTGCACAGGCACCAAGATGAGAACAAGAGACGATTGGCACGAGGAACCAGCGAGATTTCTCTGCCAACAGAAACCGACATTCAGAGCCTGAAGGAGGAGCTCGACAGTACTAAAGAATGTTTGGCCATATGCAATGCCGCATCACAAAGAGCAGTCAAGGGGGTCCATGTACTGGAGGGCATGAGCACAGGACATGATGGACAGCAGCTGTTTATCTCTACTCTGGGGGATCTTTTCAACGTAAAGGGAGCGAGCACAGGCGACAGAGGTATACAATTTGTTGGAACGGTATCGGAAGAGGCACTGCGGATATTCTTCCAGAGCCAAACGAAAAAATAGAAATTAAGTTTCGTTGAACACACCAAAGCCCCTCTATGTTGTCGCCGTAGATGAACCAGAATCTTGTGGAAAGGAGGCCGTCGTCCGTCCTGCCCCTCGAAAAGGCGTTGCAGGAGGGGTACTATGTAGCCGGTCCGTCTGTGCTCGATGAGAGACTATCATTTTTCCAAGTTCCTGGACAGACCCCTCGCTCCAAGCCCCAACACATTGGAAAGAGCTGTTGCCGCCCTCGACGTCCTTGGCATCATACAAGTGATTTTGTGTAGACACCAAAAGCTGTATACCATTTGCCCCAACCTTCAAGTGCTCAAGCTTATGCGTTGGGAGGGTGTTGTTGTCGCGCGTGGTTTCGCGAGAGTGATCGTCATCGTTTGCCATGTCGACGGCAGGGTCACCGCTGGTGGAAGGGGCGACTGTTTCGTTCATTGGAGTGTCGAAATGTTGATCGGAGAGTATAGATGACGAGTTGCCTTGCTCGATTGCTATATGTCCTCTATCTCCTGTGAATACGTAGTAGTCCTGGGACAAGAACGATTCAAAGTGGCTATTGCCCGGCGGATGCTATGAGTGTGGACGAAATTACCCCGCACGGAGTCAGCCTACGCGATGTCTGCCTATCCGACCCGCGCTCGATGCTCGGATGATGGGCAGCGGTATCCACTTCTGGTCGTCATGGTCGGCATGGTGTCTATTCTTGGAGGACGGGTATTGGCAGTGCGATGGTTTCATCGAGACAGCTGTATATTTCGGCTAAGCGTGCGGTATCTTTCGGTGCTAATTTTCAAGCGAATCGGGATGTGAGGCACTTTACAGACCAGATCTAGTTCGACAGCTGCTGTAAATGCGGTCCCATGGAAACCTCTGGAAATTGCAACCGTCGTGATGTCGGCCATCAAACAGTAGTCAAATGCGACGGTGATTTCTCAACTGCTAAGGCCCCAACATTAATCTTGAAACGGCACTCATTCAACTACGTGTTGCTACGCGCCCCCCCCCCCCACCTTATGTCCATTTCTAACCTCAGCTCATTCGCAGCTTGCCTTTGCACCGTATTCTCACAATTATCCTAGGTGGGCTAATTCCCTGACCCAAGCTGACCCTCACGAATACTGAGGTACTAATACGCGTTTCCATGAGCCTTCCGCCAGCCACCGATTGCCTGGCCGCACCATTTGAATCGTTCTTCCTCCTTTCCGACGTGAGCGAAGAGAATTGACAGGCATGGCGCACCTTTATAGAGCTGTGAGTATCAAAGCCCTCCCAAAAAGTATCGCCGAGTACAGAATGGCGTGGTATTAGTAGGACATTAAGCTTCGCAAGACTTGCCGACAACTGAAGTAGCAGAAACGTAAAATAGGTGCGAAAATTGTCGACCTCATAGAATCAGCACGTAGAGGTGAGAGACAAAGCTCTGTCAAAACCTTCTTACCCGAGACAATTCACTTGCCAGACGTAGAGGGAAACAAAGAGACGCATATAGTTCTCCAGCGTCTGCTCCGACAGCTGACCGTGTGTCGAGAAGCGTAGGTAGATAATAAGTAGAGATAGCCGGTGTATCCGTCAAAGTAATATTTAAGACATACTATCACCTCCAGTCTAGGCAAGAGCCGAGCCAGTCGAGGGTTTTCTTCTCGCTGCTATCGTTGTAAACATAAGTGAGCATTAATCACGCCGATGTTTTCAGTATACCTAATGCATCTTAAACCTTTAATCATATCCTCGGTCCTAAATACGTTTTTAAGCGATCATATCCTTACGAATATATGCATTCGGAGTCTAAAGTGAGATAAGAATGTGGAATGCAACCTCAGACTCCTCCGTTTTGAGTTTACGTGATTACACTTTCTGATCGGAACCTTTGTTGCACGTGCAATTTTCGCAGTGGTGGTTCCCCTTCGTCCTCTTGGGCCATGTCTTCTTGAGATAATTCTCAACCCCTTTCCTACATTCGGAAGTCTCGACCGAAAAGATGATCCAGGCCAACAAGAGCCCAGTCACTGGAAGGGAAACGCCCCAGTAGACCCAGAAGAGTCTCTCCCCCGCAGCGAAATCTCCTCCCATCGAAAATATTGCCGAGACTATAGAGAACGGGACAGCAACCGTGGCCGGCTTGGTCAGCTGCCCCGCGCTTCGAGCTTGTCGGTTATTTGCGAACAAACGTTGCATGTTGGCCCGCTTGGCAAAGTTGTCCATGAATGTTCTAAACGTCCCCTCAACCTCTAGCAGCATACCGTCGAGTTTGTTTCAACGCCTTTGTTCCATTGCGACTTGTCTTTGAGCGGAGTCCATGCCTTGCTGTTGTTCCACTGCGGCACCTTGGGTGGAATCCATGACTGAGCCAAATGTCAAAGCGGTAATGCCAAAATCTGCTCCCCATTGGTCGACGTCGGGGGCAATGAAGGAATCTTTGATGTCTTTGATGAGACGCCTTTTTTCGCGGATGTCGCGTCCCACGTTGACAATATGCTGGTAGGCCTTGCCGTCCATATCAGAGTTACTTTCTAGGCGTTTCACAGCTGCAGCGCTGCTGAAGTCCCTCCATTGAGCTTCGTCGTCCAAGAGCTCGTCGAGGAGTGTGGACTGGAATGCGCAGGCAAAGTCTTCCCAAAGTGAAAAGACCAGGTTTCGGACGGGCACAGTCGCGACAAACGGATCTCGCAGGTCGGAAATGATGTCGAAGTTTTCATCGTATGCCCGACGAAGATCATCGTATATCACACAGGCATATGGAGCGACGAGTGATGCATCGTTGGCGCCGACGATGACCTCTTTGGTGATTCGCCTTCGCATGTATCCAAAATTCGACAGACTGATACAATCTGTCTTCTGTCCTTCCTTCAGCTTTCGAAGGCTCGTCTGCCGGGGATCCACAAGGATGACGACTCCACAAGAGTATCATTAGATACGCTTGAGGAACAAGTCTGGGGGTCTGGTAACTCACGTGTCCAACCATCCTCACCATGCGTCATGCCCCAGAAAGAAACGAGACCATAGAATTTGATAGATCCTAGGGCCACGTTTTTAGGGAGGACTACATTAAACCGGTCGAAAGCCCCTACTTCGATCACACATTCGGCGTCTTCCTGCTCTACCATCAAAGGCGCTTCTCGAACCTGTGGAACGAGAACTCTCCAATACTTGGATCGCCCTTGTCGATTTCGGATCCCATCGACTGGATTAAATCGACACGTTTGATCGCAATGCGCAAGCCAAAACTCTGGCGGTATGTCGAGCTTGACTCCAAGCATCTCTGCCATCCGCGGGTCCACATCTTCCAGTATGATGAGCCTCCTGAAAGGCTTAGTAGAATCAAACGCCTCATCGAAATGTGAAAATAAGTCCCTGGCGCTCAGTTCCTCGTGTACCACATCACATGGAACAGGATGTGATCCAAAGTGCCTGACATAGAGCGTGGGCACATTTTGTCGAGGAGACGTGGGATTCCATGGATGACTGAGACCTCTCTTCACAAAACCCTCGGCAACGGGTTCTTCAACGCGAGTCTGATACTCGGCTGTCAGCCCAATCATCACACGATTCTCACCCCAAAACTGCTCTCGACCTGTGTCTGGTTAATACATTGAACAAGAAATGCTATGGCAGACTGACTCAACGGCACAAAGTTGTTGGACATAATGTCGAGCTCGGAGGATGGGATTTCGCGGATGACTGTCCCGACTTCACTCACGCTTATGGCAATGGTTGGTCTCGGCGGGAGTTTATATCGTGACATATGGCACAAACATTGATATATGGTGCCTGTCTTGGTGACGACTGGTGTTAGTCTCGGTGGATATACTGCGCTCTTTTTATTCTTCGCAATCAGTTCTCGCAAAAACAACAACAAAGAAATGGAATATCAATGACCTGAAAGCTGCATTTTGTGAGCCGACCAGTGGTTCAAAATGATCCACGTTATTGAGCTGAAAAAAGCCCCTGCTCTAGTAATTGTCAGCGAGTCTTAAAGTCCATGTTCTCGTGTTGAGATGACTTGACCGCGCAGTATGCAATTGGAACATCAGTGGGGTTTTGACGATAAGCATGTCTTTGAACTTAACCCCACCACAAGTGGGATGTACTCTGCAAGATTTGGCCTGGCTAATTAGACTCTTGCGTTGCCGCTCAGCTGGCGACGATTGTGCCCACGTTCCCTGTAGCATGGTGGAACTGACGATTCCCAGGGGCCAGCGGTAGCCCTTGCACAAAAAGTCCTGGCCTCTCGCTAAGTACCAAGAGGACTCTTTCACTATCAAGTCATATTCAACCTTTGGAAATGGACTCTGCATGAAGTCGTTGTGCATGATTGATCTATGAAGAGCATGGTCGGAACAACAGAAGGGACGACATCATCCAAAGACGCTATTACCGCGTAAGTATGCCCTTCCCAGTCAGTGATCAACGCAACCTCTCCGACCGAGATCAACCCGACCCTACCAGTGCTCGCCTTACTTAGGGCCGCATTTTAGCAATCACAGCGCGCCCTCCATATCAATTGGCTAAAGAGTACAATTTACCCTGAATTCAAACAGAACACCAAGCCAATAGCCGATATGAATAGTCATAAATCGCCTCAGCTGCGAGTCTCATCACCTCCAGCTGAGACTGCAAGTATCCTAATTGAGCCAAACTCCATCAGCACTATTAAGAAGTGGGGAGAAGAAAAGAGGACAAAAGAAAGCATGGCTGCAGCGGCCCGCACCTGCCTAGGCCTCCAGCACAACGCCAAACTCCACATAATCGAAACAACAGTAACCGGATTCATAGTCTGGATCCTCTTTCTTAACCACCGAAAGTAAGACTGATAAGATACTGTTAGAATACTAGGCAAAAAGGTCGACTTAGAGGGCGGTCTGAGCCCATGCAAACGAACCCTTCTCCTCTCGTCACATGCGGCCCGTCTACGTCTGGTAGTACAGTGCAGGCCGAGGGGGAAACACTTCACTGCCACATACATTACTGACTTACACCCAATGGAGGAATCGTAGGCTCTACCCACCAACGTCCTCCTTCCAAGTTCCATATACCACTACGCAGTTCAACATTTGATCATTGGGCTTCATGTCAGCCGAAAGGTCTTGCTCTACCGGTGTGTATACCAATAGATACCTTCCAAGTTGAGGTTGAGTATGCACAGCCAGTCAGTAGAAGCGAAATGGTGTGCGCACCATAGATAATCATCCAACTGAGGTCAGAGTCCGACAATCACAGGCAGTGGAAAGGGGAAATGGGGAGAGGAGCAGTGGCAGGTACAGAGGCAAAAGAACGAGTCAAAGGATGCAGTTGCAAAGTCTATCCTGACTCTGACTAGGAGCCAAAGTTCAGGTACCGAAGGAAAGTATGAGTTTGGGTGTCGCGGATGGGATGATTGTGCATGTAACTTCAAAAGGGATCCCGCTCGCCAAGACGGAGACAAAGATGCCTTCAGACTGACGGATTTGATATTGTGTAAACAGAGCGCAGACGACTGTTCGTCCTTTATTTTCTGTGTTGCCCAGCTGAGATCATCCCCTTCATATGCGTGAGCGGTACCAGCGTATCCATGTGCAAGGTGTAGTTTAGATGCACATCTTCCAGAGATTGCTTTGATCACTTGACCTCTGCTGGTCTGGTGGAATCTCGTGGCAGGCAATATCCGATCGAGACACTGCTCTCTTGATTGATGCCACCCTCATCATCAATCGGCCATCATGCAACGTAGCCGGTCCCGCCACCAAGCTGGGACTGACTCTCTTATACGCCGGCGCAAAGCTTCACTTTCTTCAGCAGATAATTTCTTCTTCCATCAATACGTCTCAAAGAAAGTCAGAATGTGGTTTGACAGCTTTCCTTCCCTCTCATTGCGCCGAACTCTGTCGAGTCTCGGCCCCAAGGCTTGCGAACAGGTTTCACAAGCTTCAATACATATCTCTGTCAGGAAAGCGTCCCACGGGCTCGAAACCCGCAAACCAGGTACCACCATTTCTATTCCCATCACAAACATCAAGTGATGTCCGTCATCTGACCAATGCGGCAAAACTATCTGCCCGCACGCCTATCGACGTCCAAAGTTGGGTGTGAACCCCGACGAACGCAAAATAATTCTTCGAGGAAGTAAAAGCCAAAAAAAGAAAAAGTGAGGATCGACAAAACTAGTCGAACGCGCGTCCCTTGTGTTCTAGTCATCGCACACAAGCCGTTAAAAGGCTTGATAGACCCCGGCTACGATTCAAAAAGTGCAGATTATAGCTTGCTGAAGAAGGGTGCTCTTTCGCGTCTTCCAGCATTCCCACTGCCCGTTTGGCCGTCCGCCCTGGTCTTTCGGCCTATCATCCTGACCAGTTGGCGCATCGGTTCCTGAGCATCCAAGCCAGGCGGATGAGAGATGCGACGCTCCACTAGCTGAGGTCTTGAGTATGGTGGGGTCTTGTCGCGAGCAATCGTGAGGGGATCTTTGTTCTTGAGACATCCCGTAATTCTTACTCATTCGCCTTAACCCCCGGAAACCCCAAGATAAGTTTGCTGTCAAGCATTGACGACGCGTCTAACTTCAGTACCTGATATGAGACAGAGCTCGGGGTCCAGTCACAAACTCAGAAACTGGTCTCAAGTTTAACCAGCTAATCGGGTAATGTTTCCCCAAGCGATCCGTTGCTAGTCAGTCTCTCAGACTTGAGTCAGCTCCACGCAGTCTCGGCAGGTACCCGAAATACCATCGTCAAAACGTAAATCTTGAGACAAACAACACCGCAGGCGAGTTAATCAAAAGTTCAGCCTCCCGCGATGGGAACTACGTCAAACAGATGGACGATCTGGGAATCGAACCCAGGACCTACCGCATGCTAAGCGGTCATTATACCACTAAACCAATCGCCCTTGGCATGATCTAGCCCGGACTTGAACCGGAGACCTTCAGTGAACACAGGAGCAGTCATAGGACGCTCGAAATGTTAGACTGACGTGATAACCAACTACACCACCAGACCATTTGATTGATGGGAAGAAAGGTGAGCAAGCGCAAGATTAGGGCAGGGTTGCCGACGGGAACCACCAGGAAGCTAGGCGGAACCCGGCAGGACGGATGCGGGCGGGTGGGTCAGGGGTCTCCGGGCGGGCTGGCCTACCGAAATTCCAGACGACCAGGTTGTCGGGGCCCAATATCAAGAAACCATATGTCCATGGGCGCCATTTCGCGGAGCAGATCCGTTGTGATATAGCAAGAAAACATGGAGCTTTGAGGCAAGTTGACAGATTCAGTTGTATGCGACGTGCTGACTCGTTTTGATGGCTAGGCCTCAGAAGCCAGACAGCCAGAGTGCTGGTGCTAGAAGAATTGTGTTCTACTCATGTGACACAGTTGTGTGAGCTTGACCCGAGACATGAAGAGACTGCCATTATGGATTGTTACGCGGCTGGACTGTTGGAGGGGTCGAGTGAAGAGACAACTTGTGGGGTGGAGACAGCCCCAGCCCACATTTGCAATATATGGCTCAATACCGCGGTCCGGCCTGAAGATCGTGGCGGACATAGCTCAGTTGGGAGAGCGTCAGACTGAAGCGGATCTAATCCGAGAAACTTCATTCAATCAATCTGAAGGTCGTGTGTTCAATCCACACTGGCCGCATCTTCTATTTTTGTTGTCGTGTGTAGTGATGGTGTATACCGCTGAGCATGGAAGCAGATCCTGTCCTTTTTGTCTATTTCGGTTCCGCGTGTGTGGTAAGAGTAAAAAGGCATTGGTCTTTTTGCGGCTCTGCGACAAGGGCCAAATAGAGTCTAGCTAGTCAGCCTATGAGCAACGTCATACGGTCAAGGGTGGTAGGTGGTGGGCGGCGAGGTGGTGTGTTTGTCGTCTTCGGGAGTCGGCACCGAAGCCTGGCCGTTCATAGGACGGACTGAATGATCGCTACAGGGCTCGAAAGGCGCTCGACATTTAGACCGGATCGTGATCGTAAATGCTCGCCCTCTGTTCGTCTGTCCACTAGTTACCGTCGTTCGATCTCGTGGCCTGGTCTTCGATACAGAGGTGCGTCATAAAGAATCAACTGCGCCTAGGTCATGGCCAGCGCAGGCTCGTCCGGTCGAGTCACTCGACAATTGGGATCGGGTTCAGATGGGGGGAAGTTCAGTCGTTCGTTTGGATTTCCACTTGTGGAAAGGCTCATCGCTTGCCGCGTATGCCAGACAAAATGGGCGCTCCCAAACGGTCCGGTCAGTGCGAAGATTGGAGCGCGTAACAAACATCAGCCGGATTTCGCGCGTGGTAACAGTAAACCTGGAAAACAATGCCCATCGGCGGCGGCTTTGAACCATCTGACGAGGCTGTTAAGCGGACCGATAGTGCCCGAGCCGCAATGTTTTCAAGTTTGCGAGCTGTGTTTCTGATCGCCACCATCGTAAGCAATGAAAAACAACGCTGAGCACACGCAGTCCTCCTCGGTGCCGTCGTCGGCCCCGTCTCCGCATTTTCCAAATGCCTCGCATTGCACCTAACTTTCGAGGTGTGCTGGCCGGCTACCATCTTGGCAGAGAAACACCGTTCAGGCAAAATCTAAGGGAACCTTTGTCATGAGCAGTGGATAGAGGACGGGGTTCTGTAGAGCTAGCCACCATGCCGTCTCGAAGACCAAACATGGAGACAGTGCATCGACGGTCCCGAGGCGGGGCAGGAAATCCCATGGGAAGAGAGACGAGAGCCATGCCGACTGGGTATAGGCCGAGAGAAAATCATGTTCTCCCAGGGCTGTCCGTGGCTCAAGGGCGAATTAGTTGCAATTTCATCGTCTTGTTCCTTGCCTGCTATACGTGGCTGCGTCTCGGACGCACTCAGAGTTGCGGGAAGGCACATCGTTGGTGTGGTAGCTTTCCCATGCAGATCCCCCTCTCGATTCCTTCGTCATGCTAGTCCCAGAGTCAGAGGGGCCACACGTTGCACGCGCGGCCACCAGCAGGCCTCGCCTGCTCCCCAGGTCCGGTAGCAGATTTGCAGGCGATCTTTGTGCACTGCCTTCCCGGCGGCAGTGAACGGCCGCTACTGAGCATGCATGGATGGATGGAACCGGCCGGAGACGATGACAGACAGGCAAACAGCTAAGCATTGCGGGTTGTCGGTAAATCTTGCCCTGGCTGAGGATGAACCCTGTGCCTATTCTTGGACATCATTCTTGGCAGGTCATGCGTTTCTTCATGGCGGCGCAAACATTGTGTGTGCTGACAATGAGCATTGACTTTGGCCTGGTTGTCGGATGCAGAAAGAGGCCGTGATGAATTCAGTTGCACGGAGAAATCAGCGAGCAGGTTTGATGCATTGCAGGGAATGGGAATGGGAATGGGGTGTGTGTCGAGAGATGACGAGTGCCCCAGACGGAGATGGCGACGCCCATGACCATGGCGTCCACGAGAGACACTCAGCGGCAGGATCCGAGACAAGGCTGTTGTGTTGGTCGTGGGATGCCTGGGTGCCGTCACAACGGTTGTTGGTTGGTCTCGAAGGCGGCTCAAATGGGTTCGTAACCGTCGTATAAGGTATAATTACTTCAGTAAGACCGATATTGGTGAAGGAGGGCCTGCCTGACTCTTGACGCGGGCGGCTTTAGAGTTTAGGCTTGGCTCGTAGGAGATCTATAGGTTGATTGCGATATCGAATCTCGGATTTGCCAGACACGTTGCATCGGGGTGAGGGGGGCGCGGGATCAGGGAGATCCAAGAGCGAGAGAAAGGGGACGACGCAGCAGCGAAGAAGCTTACTGCAAAGCTAAAGACGGCGCTTCGAGAAGAAGAGGGCGACAGGGCCCGACTCTGGTCGTTTGGCTGCTGTGGTCCGTCGTGTCTGGGTGGGTTGAAGTTAGGAGTTGGTCGGAGATGGGATGAATGTGGAGGAGTTGCGCTACACTAACAATTTCTGGCGCGTCTCGGCCAGTAAGCGAGCCGAGAGGAACCCCTGCATCCGTGCCAGAGTAGGCAAGTACTTGACGGGTGTTTCTGCAAGTATTCAGTCCGTGCAGAAAGGTGTGAGAGATACTTGACGATACTCGAACAAGTCTTGGTCAAAGTAGAGCAGGAGGTGTCCCCTGCCAAAGGGGAAGGATTACCTAAGATGCTTGTCTCACTCTCTCTTCTTCAGTCTTCAGGGTAGGCACGGAGCAATCGAGATGCAAGCTTCAATTGATTGATTGTACTTGCCTGATTGTTTGTACCTAATAGTAACTTGAGGCACATAGTGAATACGGAACTAGGTGATTGCAAGGCTTTTGCATGTGGCATGCCGGTCGTATCCTCTCTTCTTCATCATGTTCATCAACTTCTCGAACCAGTGTCGCCGCTAGATTACCGGATTGCACATCCCGGGTACTAGATCAAGTGATCTATCCAACGCAAGGACGCCAGCACGACAGACGACGATGAAAATCCAAACATCCGTCACTCGGGCAAGCTCCAGCCTCAAGGACAGGCTCCAGGCCATCAGCGGCAAATGTTTGGGGCTCTTCTTTGAGGCACGGGTGTGGCAGCAAGCTAAAATCCGGAGGTGGCAGCTCCCGAACGACTCCTGTTGACCATCCATGTTTCAGATGCGCCTGGCAAGTCCGCGAAACCGCCCTCGAGTCCTCGACGCCCAAGGAAGCAGAAGTCGATCACGTCCCAGTCGGTCCAAACTCCCAAACCCTCCGAATTTCACTCGTGCCCGGCCCAGGCGCCAGGTCAAGCTTACCCGTCCTTGACTTTGGAGTCTCCCTATTCTGGCTCTTACTGGGTCTCCAGTCAGACTCGAGGTCGGGGTTGGCTTGTTACCTTGTGTTGTGTCTTGCCCTGGTGCCGGGAGGCAAGCGGGAAGCCCTGCTTTGCCTGTGTTGCATCTCGTCTGTGTTTCTGGTGTGTGCACCTGCGCCTGTGCCTGCGCGCGCGCGCCGCTATGTTGCGTGGCTAGCATCGTTTTCCGATTTCACTCCTCTCTTTTTCTTTCCATTTGTTTTCTTTTCCTTCTTTTCGCTCCTATTTACACTCACTACCTTCTCCTGCCCGCTTCCGTGCCCTGTTTCCTTTTCTGTTTCTTCTTTGGACTTTTGGGGCTTTGTAGGAGAAACATTCGAGAGTCGACGAACCAACTACACGCTGGACGACGGTTGAACGACAGGGAAGCAGACAACGGGACGCGGTCACAGCAACTCGGCCTTAGGTCAACATTCATCACTCGGGGCATTCGTCGCTTACTCTTATTTATTCCGAATACTTGTGCCATCATTGGATCGTCAACATCGCACCGGGCCCGGCTGGCAATCTATTCATCTAATGGCCAATGTCTTGAAGACATACCCAAGTCGTCACACTTCCCTCTCCGCCTCGGGAAGTCTCTTCACACAGACGACTTTTACTTGTTTATAATACCGACTCGCTTTGATTTCGGGACCCGGAGTTGTCCTGTGTCTTGTTGGCGCTGGATTGATACCCTTTAGACTTCTTTTGAGGAACAGTCCTCGATCTACTTTCTTTCCGAACCACATACGACGCTCACGAGCCTCGATTCACCACACCCCATGAATCAGACAGCCACCATGTCGTCCATGCCGATGGAACTCAACCTGCCCCGGGTGGTCCCCGGCGGCCAGCACATCAGCTATTATGTCGCCATAAGCGCGATGCTAGTGGTCGCCTGGCTCTTTCAGTCACGAAGACCAAAGCTTCCCGACATGCCCTTCTACAAGGCCGCCAAGACGAAGTGGATGTTTGACGCCGAGACGTTGATTCGCGACAGTTATGGCAAAGTATGATGCGCACCATACCCATGGGGTTCGATGGCTAACACCAATTCAGTTCCGCGACACTGTATATCAGATTAAGGCGACAGAAGGTCTGCAGGTGCTTGTACCGGCAAGACTCATTGGCGAGTTGAGAAGCTTGCCAGAAGAGGTGTTGAGCGCCACAGAAGCCGTCGACGAGGCTATGTTGAGCAGATATACCAACTTCACCCTCGGCAACCACGCCGATCTACTGTCTACACTTGTAAGGTGCAAGTTGTCACAGAATCTCGCCAGGCTTGTGCCCCAGCTCAAGAGTGAGCTTGAGTACGTCGTGGCCACTGAGTTTCCGAATTGCAAGGGTAAGTCCGTCAGTCAGATTTTCTGCCTCGCCCAACTGACACGTCCCAGAATGGACACCAGTAAAGTTCCAACCCTTTGCGCTGCGAGCCATTGCACGGATCAGTGGTCGAGCGTTCGTAGGCCCCGACGTCAATCGACAAGAGCAGTGGATGGATATCAGCATCAACTTTGCCATCCACGTCTTCGTCGCCGTCGTGAAGATGCAGCTCTTCCCAGAGTGGGCCCGACCGATTGCGCAGTATGGAGTTTCGGAGCTGCGGCAGATTCGCAAAGACGTTGACAAGGCTACCGCCATGCTGAAGCCCATCATCGATGAAAGACTCAGGGACCTGGAGATGCCTAGCTACGAAAAGTCTCCCGACGACTTGATTCAATGGCTTGTTGAGGCCCTTCCAGAGGACGAGAAGAGAGACGTGAGGTCTCAAGCGCATCTTCAGCTCATCCTCGCAGCTGCGTCGATCCACACCACGAATAATCTTGTGACGGATTGTATCTACGACCTGGCAGCTCATCCAGAGGTGCAGGACATGCTGCGTGAAGAGGCTCATCAAGTCCTTGAGGTAGAAGATGGCTGGGCGAGGAAGGAGAGCATGGCGAAGCTGAAGAAGCTCGACAGCTTCATGAAGGAGACCCAGCGACTCGCCGGTAATATTAGTATGTTCATCAGCAGGCCCGAAGTTTCACCTGTAGGCAAACACCACTAACACATGCCAGCCTCCTTCATCCGAAAGGTCGTCAAGCCCATTGACCTCTCCGACGGCACCCATCTGCCACCCGGCACAAAGCTCCTGGCCCCGCAGGCCGGCATCTCGCACGACGAGAGATACTTTGAGAACCCAGATACCTTTGACGCGCTGCGCTTCTACAAACTACGACAGAAGTCCGACGAGGACGCAAACAGGTGGCAGTTCACCAGCATCAGCGACACCAACATGAACTTCGGCGCCGGCAAGCACGCCTGTCCGGGCCGCTTCTTTGCCGGGAACGAGATCAAGATGGTGCTTGCGTACTTTTTGCTCAACTACGACATGAAGCTCAAGGACGGGGAGACGAGGCCTAAGCCGATGGTCATGGTAATGAGCAAGTCGCCTGACCCGAATGCCGAGGTCCTATTCCGGAGGCGAACGGCTGCGGCGTGAGGCCCGACGTCGTACATGGGTGATGAGTAGCATTCTGCATTTGGAAAAAAAAAGCATTAAAATCATATCTATCATGAGGCTGGTGGCTGAGGAAGCACCCGCGAAATCTACAACCAACAGATTACCCCCGTGGAAGCAGACACGGGGAATAACGCATACATACACATTTATCAACATCTTTCCGGCATCGGGGCCTGGAGCTCCAGAGGAGTTATGGACAGGCTTTTAACTGGAGGCTTGCTTTGCCGCCCCGTAGAGGAGATACCATACCAAACATATGTATATTAAATACAAACAAAGACACATAACTATCATCAACAATCATTACCTTGGGCTGAAAGAAACAGGGCGGGTGGACAACATTAGAAGCGAGTACAGCGATGACGATATGGATGATGGCTGAGGTGTAAATTTCGGTCGTTATGGTATTAGCTAGCATTTGGAGGCGAGGGTCCAGGGCAATTGCATACATGAACAGACCAGTATTGAGAACAAACATCGAAGTAAGAAACATCTCGAAATATCATGCTTCACGAGGAATTGAAAATGGAAAGGCAGGTTGAAATTGCGGGAAGCCTGCTATAGAGAGGAGTCGACCAGTGCGAGCTCCCTTCTTGAGAAGACAATCCGCGGAGGAAGATACAGCCAGATACGCCTTGTTGGCTAAGTGGTATAGCGTCTCACTAGTACCTAGTGGCATGAGAAGATCGGCGGTTCGATTCCGCCACGAGGCATTTCTTTTGCAATGTCGATCAATTTTTTCTACGTTTAACACATTTCCCGTTCTTTTTCATCCTACTTCATTTTTTTCTGGCTCTAGTGCATGCTGGTTGTTGGTTGTGGTTATGTTTTTGTGTGTGTCAGTGTGTAACGGGCACCTGGTCCGGCGCCGCTCTCTGAACTAAGACTACGTACTCAGGTACCTTACTTAGCCTTTAGGCGGCGTCATTTTTAAGGTTATCTGTCATTGCTCTCTCTATGCATGGGGAACCTCGAACTTGGATTTCACCAGCCTTACCTCGAACCTCGCACAGCGAAGGGTAGAACCATGTTTTTTCCTCTAATCCATCACTCCGTCATCTTTGCACAGATACGAAGACTCCTACCTTAGATATTCGAGCGAACCAGGACACACACTCACACACACCGATGACCGGGCAACGTCAAGCCACTCCCGCCCCTCGTCACCTGCAGGGACTCTTTCCCGGGTTTCCCTCTTCTCGTCAAGTACCTACCTACCAGGCTACCCTATACCATACCTCTTGCACTCATACTCAGAAGCCAGACCGACTCCAGGTCTGATCAAGGAAGCTAGCGTCAAAGACAAGAAAATCTAGGGCATGCCAGGCAGGCTCTGCTAAATTTCTCCCCGGTAAATCAAGAGAGTACTAGCCTATCATAGCTTTCTTAGAGCTGTCTGTGACCATCGTAGTGCTTACTCGAGACAGGCCGGCAGGACATGCCACGATGCGTGTACGTCTAGACAGTACCTGGGTATTGTCCGCAGGATAGATAGGATGGGCAATGCGGGCAGGTTCGTTTAACCGACGCTGACTGCGGGAGGTGACTTGCATACAGGCGCATCAGCCCAGGCGGGATCTTGGATGAAAGCCTGCCTGCCTTGGCTTAGTAAGGTAAGGTTAGGTGCAGCGTTCGTCACCCCGTGGAAGCAGGCTGCGATCCTCCATACCTTAGATTTCCGCCAGACGATATAGACAGGTATACACGTACTGGTCACTCGCCAATCATCTTCTCCCTCGACATCCCGTACCTCTGCTTCTTCCGTCGGACCAGCTCCCGTCAGTGACGCATACGATGACTTTCCCCAAGAAAAAAGATCATGACGGCACCATCAGACATTGACGCCGCGCTGCCCTACGTACTACTCACTACTCACGGATAGATGGAAGCAAATCCAAACCGGCAGGTACTTTTTTTTTCTTCAAAAGTCCTGGTTACCTAAGGCGAGGTAAGCTAAGGCAACACAGCAAGTTGAGGTAACGGTACTTCGTACATAGGAACAAAGGAAAGAAAAAAGAAGGGGAATTGGAATTTCCAAAAATCCATGTTTGGGAGAAATTCCATCCGTCATTCAGCCCTACAAGCCAAACTTGATTCGCCCATCGTCCGTCGGCCGCACTTCCCTTGATCCTTACTACCGTCCAATACGAATACCTACCCAAAATTCCAAAGTCCTGACTTGAATCCATCGCGCCATCACCTCCAAAATTCCAACCCCGCAAAACCTGAACCTGTCGTCCAGCACGCGTCCCGGCCTGCGTCATCGACAACCCTTCACAATATGCATGGATACCATAGAATTTTTTTAAATAGGCTGCCGCGTATGACAGACAGACAGCCACAAGCTCCCCTCCAGCCTTGAGACCGCGTACTCCGTGTCCGTAGCGATACGCTCGATGAACAAAGGCCATCACGTACCTCACTCTCCTTTCCTCCCCACCTCTATCCGACGAGGTAAGCGGGGTGGGATAGGAATGGCACGATAGCTACCTAGCTCGCATCATCGGCGTAAATCACATGCGCGGTGCCTGCCCACCCATCCGACCTCCTCCTCTACCTCTCCCCTCTCCGACGGGGTACACTAGGTTCTCCTCTTCGCGCTTGCTCCGCTCTCCGCATCAGACCCGTTGTAGAACGCAGTGCATCACCCGTCGCGCGATAGTGCCTATGTACCAGGTACATCACCTGTCACATTTACCACGAAAATTCAGCGAGCGACGGGACCGTTCTTCTTCGACATGGCTCGTCCCGAGATGATTAGTGTGGGGTTCGTCTTTTTTTCGCTCCCGCGCGCTAGCCTCGAACTTGAGGTGGTGCGCTACATATGTACACTGGGCAAGTACCTTGGACCGTCGTCAGGCAGCGGCTAAACGGGCCTGGCCTGGACGATGTGAACCAAACCAAACCAAACTCAATTGTACGTTGGTGTCAGGTTTGTCACGGGCAATGGTATGCACCATTAGCAGATAGGCAAAAACTACACCCATATGTGTATTCAACTAGAAATAGAACAACATACCCCCCAAACAACAAAATCCGGTATTGGTTTCCCCTTGAATCGCAATCAGCTCGAAAGATGCCCGCTCGGTTATCTTTACATTCCATCAAAACTGGGTCTTCAAAGGGTATCAGTATGCCGCCCAGACAAAGCAGATCCGTCGCTCCAATCCAAAATACAGTCTATCATCCATCCTTTGTGCCAGGTCTGTTTCCGAGGCAATAACATGTGGGATCTGGAACCCAAAACAGCAGCTTCCCAACTGAAGAAGCAAACAAACGCGCTCGCTAAGCAATATCAATAAACTTCAGTCGACCGGCTCGCTTCCTCGGGGTATATGCGACGATGGCCGCTCGACCAATCTTCCGTGGCCGCTCTCGATGGTGTAGAAATGCGCACATCGCGCTCCGGAGGAAGAGAGGTGTGTTCCGGCGAAGCCTCGCGCCCTGGCGACACCATCCCACTTCCTGTAAGCGGGCCAAAAAATTCCTCCGGCGATTTGACAGCACCGTCGCTCCACCAGTGGAACAAAACGTCTTGCTGCCACTTGTGCACATTACCAATCCTGAGCCGAAGAGTGTGTATAAATGTTGAATAAAGAAGTTCAACAGCAACCGGCGAAGTACGCAGCTGCTGCAGAAGCCATCGTGTGATAAAATCCGACTTATCCTCTTTCTTAAATTCGCTGATCAGCCTAGAAATGCCCAGCTCCTTCTGAGCCGCTCGAAGCTGCGGCAGCGTAGCCGGGTCCGCCGCGTGGTTCTTCGCAGCGCGCCTCACCTCCTCAATGGCAGTCACCGGCTCCGGCCGAAGTACATGGTCTGGACGAGACAAGAGTTCTGAAAAACGACCATGGGCCAGAGATCCAGATCTTGGAGGCGTGTTGTCGAGCGCCATGTCTTCGCCGATGTTGGGGTCAAGGGCGTGTGCGATTTCGAAGGACGGATGCTTCTTCATCGCACCATTTTCTTCGCAAATCCGCTTCAGCCTGGAAACCTCTTCTGTCAGGCGGTCCATGTCCTCCCGCTTCTCGCGCTCTTCTTCCGGATATTCGTCCATGAATTCGACTTCTTCCGCGCTAGGCTTCATCCCGGTCGATTTCTTGACATCCATACTGTACGTGTATTGCCTGTGGTACAGCAGGAGATCGTCGTACTCTTCTTTAGCGTTGTTCAAGTCCCCGATGGCAGACACAAGGTCTTGCCAAAGCGGATGGGCATCGTCGGAAGGCCCGTGACGGGAAATACCGGTGAGTTCATATGGTATATCCGGTTGTTCTACAGATTCGTCATCCTCGGAATCCTCATCTCGCATCCTTGGCCGGGGTTGTCTCTTGCTACCAGCGGCCAAGAGACTGAAAAAGCGTGTCTCAGTATTGTTGAGGCCTTCCTCTTCTTCATCCAGTGAGACCTCGAGTTCCTCGTAGTCAACTTCGATAGTGTGGTATTCCGTTCGAAGTGCCTGCATCTCGGCAAATCGTGTCTCCAACATTTGGTCCGATGTTGCAGGTAGACCACGGCGACCCTTGATAAGAATTGGGCGCAGCATGTTCATGAAGCTGTTGTCGGCTTCATCCTTTCTGCGACGCAGGTCCCGAAGAACCTTACGCCGGCCGGCCATGTCCTGCTTTAAAAAGTTCACCCGCTGCCGACGATGCTTCATCTGTACCCATAGCTCCTGTACTCCGTCGTCTAGAGATGCCATGGACGCCACCGAAGATGCATCAGAATCGACAAGGCTGGGAACGGAGCTCCGTGAGTTCTCAAGCCGAGAAACCTTATCCGTGATAGAGTCTGTGATATGTTTCCTCTCTCGCTCAAATACCTGACGATCTTGCACGGTGGGCATAAGCGGTGGAAAGACTACCCGATTTTTCTGTTCAAAGTAATCTGCCTCCACCGAGCTTGTGTCGTCGTCTGAGCTAGTGTATTCGTGGTGCCATGAACCTGATGATAGCGACATGGACGGCGAAAGGCTGCGTTGCATCGAAACCTTTGCCAGCCCTCGACCCCTGAAGGCAGCATCGAGGTTTGACGGCGGCGGCGGCGGAGGTGGTGGTGGGTGAAGGAGCATAGTGGGAACGAGTGGCCGCGGTCCTCGGGACGGCGGAGGCGGAGGCGGAGGGTGAGGTCGTTTGTGTCCGTAACTGGCCTGATGGGATAGAGGACGTGGTGTATTCGGGCCTGAGGATTGAGAACCATGGTGTTGTGACGCATCGGGTTTTGGCCATGCAGGTGGAGCAGCCATCAAGGGGCCAAGAGAGTTTGGTTGCGTCAACGTCGAAGGAGGAGGCGGCGGCGGCGGCGGTGGATGTGGTAGTGATCGTGAGAGTGATGATGGCATGAGCTGGACGCTTTCGAAATAGCTAGCATCAATAGTCGTTGTTTCGGATGGAATGGCATGCTCGTGGAGGTCGGCATCCCCTGACAGACTCGAAGCGGAGGTCCGTCGTCGGGGGCTTTCGGTCGTAGCCATGAAGAGAGGCTATGGTGCGTACTGGTCGTGGAATAGTTCCATCGCTTGGTAAGATGTGGTGATGCGACCAAGGGAGAGTCCGTCGTCGATGATCGCTGGATCGAATTTCGAACGAGAGATGTGACGGCTCGACTTGAGAATGTTGTGGGCGTAGTCGACGCGGCTCGTTCCAGTCACCACCTTCTTCAGGCAAGGTAGTGCTAATTACGGATGCATGCCAGCAGAAGCAGGCCAGCAATAGGAGCAGCAGCAGCAGCAGCAACCTGAACAGCAGCAGTAATGCAACAAACGTGGGAACAAAAGGATGGGTGCTGACCGAGGCGAGCAATACCGTTGGAGGAGCCACCTTGACCCTTTCTCGGTAAGCGGATCCACTTGCCTCCCGTGTGCTAACCCCCTTTTGCACCTGCCTTCTGTGCCTTTCGTGGCTTTCCAGCCGTTCAGCGGAGACCAACCAGGTACATCAGGAGGGTACGAGAGTACGTACTGCGGACCTAGCTGCTGCCGTCCCGACGCTAGTCCCGATATGTGTCAGCACCACAGCTAATGAGCCCGAGCTTCCGTGGGGGGGCCCTTCTCGGCGGTCCACACAGGCAGTGACAAGGACCACGGCGCACCACTGGCACCACTGGCAGGTGGACACGGACAGCGCGGGGTCAAGTCAAGCAGTCGTCGCTACTGGTGGGAAGTCATCCCACACCCAATCACCCAAACACGACTGGACGAAACAGCGCAGCCTGGTTCCATTTGTCTCTTTTCCAATCGCTTCGTACCGGTACAGAATTTCAATCAACATGCGAGCCAACCGCCGCCGGCCAGCAACCTCTTCGGGCCTTCATACAGCCAGGGGTGGCGTCTCTTGGGTTGCACACCATACAACGAACAGAACGGAGACCAGGGTGTGCAAGCGGGTGCCATCTGTGTGAGACCACCTCGCGGAAGAGGAGAAGGCGAGCCTTTGGGGCCGCTGTTGTTGTTTCTTGTCCACTTTGCTCCACGTACCTACGGCGGGAAACATTCGATGGATAATGAAGTGCATTCGGCTTATCGACCCCGGGTCCATAGACCATACTGTGGCAGTCATTTGGGAGGGTAAACTCGGGAAGAAAAGGCAACCGTGCCGTGTCACACCCTCTTCTCGTCGTTCTCCGTCTTCCGTTTCCTGTCTCACGCTCCCCCGTTGACCGATCTTCTTCCTCATACTCTTTCTCTCAGCCTGACACCGACTTTCACCTCAGTACATCCCCTTAGGATTCAAAGTCTCCTGCAAGACGATGCAGGCTCTGTGAAGGCTCATACCCCCCTTCCTGCAAGACTCCTGTCGCTTTTGCGCCAGTCATATCTCGCAAGATACGTCACGCGTTGCCGCGCAGCTACTTCAACCAATTAAGCGGGCACTCCTTTTATCCTGTCGTGGCCCCGAGGCCTCGAGGCCCGGCTTGCCTGTCGAGGTCCGCTTGTCTGTTGTCTCTTTCTTCTTGAGCCTCAAGCTTACACTATCACCAAGACTCGGTCTCCGTCCCCGAACCCGGTCTTGCGCGGAGGCCCACCCATGATCGGCGCCGAAGTTCAGACCTCTCCAAGTGTCGACACAAGATGCCATCATGCACAAGTCGAGCAGGTCAAGCAAACACAAGTCGAAGAGCGGAGGAGGCAGAGGCGGGAGTACATGGAGTGCGTGGAGTGATTGGCAGTGGAATCCAGATTACCAGAAGAACTACAGGTACCGCATGAACAGCAATGGTGAGTCATGAGCCAACCTGCTGTTGCGGATACAGCTGACGTTTAAAGGCGAATACGACTATGAGTGGCAGGATATTGCGACGCCGGCGCCGGTACCGCAAGACGACTTCACTCCCCGGGCAGTAGACGAACTCACGGAAACCATGGACAACCTCGATCTGCCGCCTACTACCGAGAGCAGTTATGGTTACGAAGGGCAGGATACCGAGCATAATGGTGAGTTGGGTGACAACGTCGTATAGCCGGGGCTGACCCTGCTACAGATCCATCCTACATGTATGAACCTTCGGCGACATCCCATGGCAGCTCAGGTAGATCTAGGAAAGGGAAAGAGACAGCCTACGCCCCAGAACCACACGATGGGGAAAGTCCTCCGCCTGAAGACCCACCTCCCCCGGCAGCACCGCCATTAGATCCATTCTGGGGCGCGGAGGGAGGCACCACTGGGCTACAGGACGAAGAATGTAAGTGATGTTGCTCTTGTAAAGAAAGTGCGTAGCTAACAAATTCAAAGTAACTCCCCCGCAAGCTGGTGCAGAAAGCCTATATCACGAGTCTGAGGGATATGGGATAGCTCGTGATCCAATTCCGGCTACATACAGTCAAGGTGAGGCACTCGGGCTGGGGGTTTGAATCATGCTGACGTCGGTAGACTCTGGATACGCAACCGCCGATCTAGATGACTTTGATGATCCGATTGTGCAAGAGGCTATGTCGAACCGCAACGAAATGTATGGGACTTCCGGTCACGGCGGGTCATCGACAGATCCCGCATATGGTACAGGTGAGCAACAGGCGATAGTCCTCAGTGCCATCCCCATGGCTGATTACCCAGACAGCTTATCCAGCGTACGAGGAGGACGACGGTGCGGCAACACCAAAAGGCCGCCAAAGTCCTACACCGTCCTTCGACATAAGCGGCACTCATGGGTCTGCTGAAGATCTTGACCCTCGTGAGTGGACCCACGTATCTGTAGCTTGGTTTGTTGACTCTGACAATTTGCAGGTTACGTCGTTGAACCGTCACACAAATTCCGGCCCGGATCGGTAGGTTACTTTACGTGGTTATGGTTTTACTTTACTAAGTGTAATAGGTCTTCAAGGTTCTATGGTCGGAGCCATCCGGCTCTCACGCCGCAGGAAACTCGACAATTTCCGAGAAGCAGCAAATTCAAGACCAATTTGGAGGGTCTGTGTTCATCGGTTTCAGGCGCTTCATTGTCATTGCGAATGACGAAGGGCACTGCACCTGCGTGTAAGTCGGCTTCAGTTATTATTTGGACGCTTCCACTGACAGACCAGGCCAATCCTCACGTACCAAGGCAAAGCTTGCAACAAGAGGGGCGTGAAAGCCCACAAGCACGGCATGATCTACAGCCACAAGCCTCATCGACCGCTTCGCGATGAGCCAAAGCTCGGATTCCCACCAGTCCGGGCCAAGATCACGATAGAGGGAGAAAAGCTCGCCAAAGAATCGCGCGTCAACTACTCCAAGCTTGTCACGGTCGAACACAACGTCAAGGTCTTCTTCATCGGCTACATCAGCCCGGACGACTTTGAAGACGTTGAGTATGCCGTCGACGACTGCTGGAGAAGAAGACCCGAGCGAAGAAGAAGTCAAGAAAATAAGCAGACATTTTTGTCTGCAAACATGTTTGCGTCTCTGTCACAAATTGTGATGGCAGCACATTTTAACACATTATACGTTTGGGGGAGCTAGGTCGACCTACACTCCTCTATCACGATGAGACGACAGTCTATTTTGCCGACAACCCGGCTCATTTACTACGCTATTATTGCGGAAGCTATGATATGATGATTCACATGTTATCAAACATTTACTTGGATTTATCTGGCATCAGATTGTTATTCACAGGGAGTTGGCAGCATTAGCAGCATTGATGCAGGCTCAAACAACAGTGGAGAACATGGGAACAGGCCATGGTCAGATTGCATCACTAGAGTCTCTTTTTTTCCTCATCTCGCGTGGATATCTCGCCAACATTATCACGACTCTCATCTACGTGCTATTTATCACTCAACATGGAACTGCCTACCTATCCTTTTTGCTCAGCCTCTGCTTGTGAAGTACCCTGCATATGAATTGCGATGGGGCTGCGCCGCAAACCCAGGACGCTAGGTCCCGGGATAAGGCAGCCGTACCTTACATGGAATTTACAATTACTGTCTGGTGTTTTTGCACTTTTGCCCCCCTCAAGGATTCCAAGGAACCCCCAAAAAGGACCCCTAGGCAGCGAAAAGGCAAAATGCCGTGCATCAGTAATCGGCCCCGACCCACGCTTTCCCCCGGTGTGGACCCGGTGTCTCTGGAAACTGGAGCTAGCGGGACAGCCGAGGCTCGGTATCTTCTCCCCCGCAAACGTCACCGCCCGGGGTAAGGTCGGTTCTAAACTCTGGGGGAGAGAGAGAGGAATTGGTTGATTAGCTGTACAGATTTCCAATCCCGGCCCCCTTTTTTTACCTTCTTCATCCCCCATACTTTTCAATCTGTTCCGATCTTTCTGACCTTCTGAACTTGCTTTTCTTCATTAGAGGTACTTGAAGCAATCAATTGAACCACAGGAACCCAGAAGAAATCGTCAACAATGGCCGAAGCACAGCTCAACGACTTTCCCTCCCTCTTCTCCCTCAAGGGCAAGGTCGCCGTCGTCACCGGCGGCTCTCGCGGTCTTGGTCTGCACGCCGCCTCAGCGTACGTTCAATCTCTCTTCCCCCTCCTTCCCACGTGTTTTCTTCAATTCGCACAACAGTCTTGTAGAAGGAAAACCCCCGACTAACCAAGAGAAAATCCACAGCTTCCTCCAAGCCGGCGCCTCCAAAGTCTTCATCTCCTCCCGCAAGGGCGCAGCCTGCGAAGAGGCATGCAAGGCCCTCAACGCCCTCCCCAACCTCCAGCCCGGCGCCGTCGCGATCCCGATCCCCGCGGACGCGGCGTCCATTAAAGGCGTGGAGCACCTCGTCGCCGAGGTCAAGAAGCACGCCGACCGCGTCGATATCCTGTTTGCGAACGCGGGCGCTACCTGGGGTGAGGCGTTTGATACCCACCCGGACGAGGCGTTTGCCAAGGTGATGGATTTGAACGTCAAGGGTGTGTTTAATACCATTCGGCTGTTTACGCCGCTGCTCGAGAAGAGCGTGGCTGCAAATAAGAGTGCTGGTGGCGAGCCTGCAAAGGTTATCATTACGGCTTCTGTTGCTGGACTGGGGATCGGTACGCTGGGTAAGCAGGGGACGTACGGGTACAGCGCCAGCAAGGCTGCCGTGCTGCATTTGGGACGTAACTTGGCGCTGGAGCTTGCTCCCAGGGGAATCACGGTGAATTCTATTGCCCCCGGCTTCTTCCCGAGCAAGATGTCCAATGGGTTGTTGGAGATGGGCGGCGGCGCGGATAAGATTGGCAAGGGGAACCCGATGGGTCGGTTGGGACGGCCGGAGGATATCGCGGGTGCGGTGGTGTACCTTGCTAGTCGGGCTGGGTCGCATGTCAACGGGGAGGTCATTGCTATTGACGGCGGGTCGTTGTGGCAGAGGGGGGAATTGAATGTTCCTCCTAGTAAGTTGTGATTGAGGGTGTGAGGGATCTTTGTATGCTGGGAGCTTCCTTCGAGGAATAGGATGATGTAGATTGTAGGTGTTGTTGAACAAGAGCGTGTAATTGTCCCATCAGGGGTCACTTCGCCTGGGCCTCGAATCTATCATGCTACCGTAGTGCTGTTAACTTGCACTGCTGACCCCTTACCTCCCGTCAATATGTACAGATGGTAACAGAGCCAATAAATGAGGAGATCGAGAGAGTTCAAGACGGCAAAAAAAATCTAGAACGGCTTCCGCGCCACCCAAAAACTCGCGCGGTACGTGGTATGCAGCATACTCTCCCCATCATGAATATACGGCGCCTGAATCCCCGTCTCCCTCCTCTCCACCACGAAACCCACCTTCTCGACCAGCGCCATAACCTCATCATCGCTCAACTCGAAGCTCCCCGGATCCGCGATACCCGACGAGTTACTCGCGTCGTGGTCGCCGTCGCCGTCAGTATCGCGCCCGTGGTTGCCCGGTGCGTTATTCTCAAAGTGCCACAGTAAGGGACCGAAATTGACGAGGAGACCGCCGGGGCGGAGGGCGTGGTGGATCGTCTCGAGGTAGCGGATGAGATTGGGCGCCGTGTCGAGGAAGAAGACTGTCGCTACGGCGTCGTAGGCTGAGGCGTGGTCGGCGTCGGAGTAGAGGCAGAGGAAGTCTGCGGCGCACATTGACATGCTGCCTATACCCGTGCCCGTATCGGAAGACTGCTGCTGCGCCAGCGCAAGTTCCGTGGCCGGGTGGATGTCGGGTACGGCGCAGCTCCGGAGGTGGTTTTCGCGCGTGCGGTGGTTCGAGAAGGAGTGGACCCAAGGATAGATTTTGTACTGGCCTGCGGATTTCGTGCAGTTTAAGATGTAGGAGGAGGCGAGGAGCTGGTGGTAGGAGATCTCGTTGCCCTCTGCGTCGTGGCCGTTGAGGCAGAGGTCGAAGACGAGGCGGCCTAGTCCCGCGCCGGGGACGAGGACTTTCAGGGGTTCCGCGGGGGGAGCATCAGCGCCTGTTGTCGTGGCAGGAGAAGACTGTCGGGCCTTGCGTTCCCGGTCGAGGGCGTCGAGGACGGGACCGTAGCATATGCTGCGCTCCTCGGCCCCTTCGGCGGACCAGTCGCGGTAGAATTGGCGGAGGGTGCTGCGTGCTTTATCGGTGTCGCCGTGCTTGGCGACGCCGACCCAGTTGTCCGGCAGTTTGGGTTCCTCTGTCGAGTTCTCGTCTACGAGGTGGAAGGAGCGCAGGCCGTTGTGGGCGATGGCGCGGGCGAGCTCGGCGTTGGACTCGATTGCGTCGTCGGTGCGCTCGAGGGTGTCGAGGAAGTTGAAGGGCGGGGCGGCGAGCATCTGCCAGTGCGCCTGGGGCAGGGCGTAGAAGGATTGGCGGCGGAGGTGGGTTACGTTGAAGTGTGCCACTTTTGCGTATTGGCTGTAGGGTGGTTAGTGAGTTGGGGTTTTGAGATGATAGTGGTGGTGAGGTAGATGAAGACGAGTGCGAGAGTGAGTCCGTTTGTTGCTGGGGCCAGGATGAAGAATCCCACCTTGCGGGACTCATCCATGATATAGCAGTGGCCTCCTCATTCAATTGGAGGACAGAAGGAGAAAGCAAGGCAAATAACACTCACAGAAATGAGTCGAGGGCACAGAAAATGACCCTCGTCTCCTCGGGATCATCAACCGTGTTCTCCATGCCGCTCCATTGCTCGTCATCCGCCATGGCTGGCTGGCTTGGCTTTCCTCCCCTGCTTTCCTTCCTTCTCAAATCTCTGCGCGTAGTCCTTAAGCCTGAAGAAATGGCTTGAGAATTGCCTAATTCCAACACACCAAAGTTTGAATGTCGGTGAGGATTCTGAGTTGCGCGCTCGATGGCGCTGGTTGGATGCGCAAAGTGATTCTGATGAGGGGCAATTCAATTCGGACACAGCCCTTGTTCAAAACTGAGGAATTCGCTTGACACCTTGGATCAAGATGGAAAGTTGCTTGACGAATTCTCTACTTTTCGCTTCAGTGCCAACAAATAAGATAGCCAATCGATTGGTCCACCCTGGTATACTGAACTCGTATGAGAGGAACACGGGAGCGCAAGCAAGAAAGGAGGTTGAAGAAAAAAAAAAAAGGCATCCCGACGGTACCCCGCGGCGTCGTTACTCCCAACCACCCCGCCGAAAAAAAGGGTCCCCCGCCCCTCCCCCTCCACGCCCCGACAGCGGCCGGCGGCTGCCGCGATCGCTCGGGCCTGCAAGGATCCGATGAGTTACCAAACTTATCGTTCAAATTGTGCAGCACCCTCCCCCGCCGAGGATACCGTGGGGCTAGAACTTTATCGCTGAAGGACCGGCTTGCCAATTGGTAATAAACGTGGTCGGGCACCGCAACCTCATGGACTTGGGATAACGTTCCATGTATCAATCTTTGTAGCCGAGCTTACAGATATAGACTTCCAGATATGAGCATCTCTTTTCTTTTCTCTTCGTACAACTAAATGATATTAGAACAGGGCGGTCATCACACTGGGTTTTATCTGGCTTTAGGCAGGTAAATTGCTCCCCTCCCTCAATACCCACACATGGCAGTGATGTCCGATGTGTGAAAATCATTTAGTAACAAGGAGATAATGCCATCTCAAAGCCACGGGCGAATTTAGAACATATAAATTGTTAGGAGCCTCCAGAATCTGCCACCGCTAGGGAATGAATAGGGAGGTTATTGGAATTCAAAGCTTCATGGTGCGTACCCAGACATTTCAAGATGGCATCAGTATATCCGAGAATTCCATATCCATACTGAGACTTTGAGTTGGACGACGATGACTTACGGCGATATGAACCACGAATGAACCTCGCTCACATCATAAATCCTACTCATATTCACTTCAATATGAAGCCTTTGCATCATCTCACCCCTCAATAATCACATCCTCTTAGTAACCAAAATCACTATTGCAAAACACCATTGATGAATCCTCATTTCATTGCTTCGATCCCATCGTCAATCTACATGATCGCGTTGCTCGCGTTGCTACTCTACACATCCATCCCGCAGGGCACAAAGTCCCCGATACCAGAAATTACCACAAAGCAATCCCCAAACGCCCGAGTTTCTCAACATATGCTCGCCAATCGCAACTAAACTCATTTCGTGTCTGTGTCTGTTTTCTCCATAATCCCATATTCCATTGTCCATCGTCCATGTAGTCTTAGAGGAGAGAGACTTCAAGACTCATCGTGCCTCATTTCTGAAAACTTGCTCTTCATCTTCCATATCCCATCAACCGTGACTGTGAATATGGCCATAACCATGACCATGACATGACTATCACAACTCAGTGATCACGGTGACGACGCTCCTTTCTCCTCTTGCGCCTCTCATCCGCATAATCGCTGCTCACGGCGCTCTGGCTACTCAAACCAGGAATGACGTGGTGATACGACTTGTTGCCCACATCGCTCTCCAGCGCGCTCGTGATATCGCTCTCGGCCCAGCTGCCAGGCATACTCGGCTCGGGCTCCTCCCTCGGCGGCGGGAGCGCGTAGCCTCGCGTGTTCTGGTCCTCGGCGACCGTGCTCGCCCGCTGGAAGCTGAAGTCGCGCCTCGAGCTACCCGCAGCACGGCCCCGCTCCTGCAGCTTCTTGGCCTCGGCGCGGATGCGCTGGCGCTCGCGCTCCTCGTTACGGTCCGCCGTGCTGTACACCTTGCGAATACCACCGTGGCCGCCGCTCTTCTTGTGGGGCGTAGATGTCGGCGTGGTCTGCTGTCCGGACAATAAGCTGGTAGAGACGTTGGATTCGGTCGGGTTCGTCGAGCCGTCCCACTCGGACGCCTCGGATTCCTTGTTCAGGCCGCCGACGCGGGCGGGCTTCTCGTGGCGGTATGAGCGGAGATGCTTCTTGGCCTCGCGTTCGGCCTCTTCGTCAATGAGCACGCCGGCCTCGTCGTAGTTCTGGGACGAGGGCTTCTCCTTGTGGCGCGCGGCCTCTTTCTCCCTGCGTCTCTTCTCCTTCTTGCGCTCGCGCTTCTCGCGGGCGCCGATGTCGCTGGGTCCCGCCGTGATGCCGGACAAAGTAGTTCCCGAGATGCTCGTCTGGTTGTCGTCGTAGTCCTTGTAGACGCTACCGCCTCCGAGCTTGGTCGACTTGGTGGCGCCGGACAGAAGAGTGCCGTTGGGACCCCTGCGGCGCAGCACCGTCGTCTTGTAGTCGTCCCAGTCGTTTTCCTTGAAGTAGAAGCCTCCGTTGCGGGCCCAGAAGAAGAACCAGATACCAGTGATGACAAAGGCAGCGCCGATGAGGCCGAACAGCACAAAGATGGCCGTGTTGTTAATGTTGCCCGGGTCGGTGACGCCGACGTGGGGGTCCTCCTTGTATCCCGTGCTATCGCGGGCGAGGAGGAGGGAGCGAGCGGCGAGGGGCCCGACGGAGCCCGCGTCGATTGATCGGGCCGTGATGTCCGCTGTGTCGGGGAGGCTTGAGAGTCGTCTGCCCGCGATGAAGGAGCGGGCTTGGTGCGCCAGGCCGTTGACGACGGCCGGAGCCATGATTGGCAAGGTGGACTTCAGTTGAAGTCGAGATACGTGATAAAGGCTTTTTCGGTATGGTATCCGGGTAGTGGTTGACAATTGCTGGCAAAACCAGCGATGATGGAGGTGAGACTGGAATGTAGATGGAATGCTTCTCTGCAGTCCACTCTGTAGTCGGAGAATGGGTAATGCACACTCTATTCTCCCGGTGGAATGTCGAAAAGGTGAAGAATACGGATAAGGTAAGAGGTGAAAGTTGCCTGGCCAGCTGCGTGGTGGCGGAAGGCTTGTTCCTATAGAAACCAGAAATTGCCGTGGCTGGGGGATGTGCGCGAACAAGTGAGGTGGTTGGTGGGGGAATCTGCCTGGGGGTTGCTTCCCTGCACTCTTTCTCTCTCGGGACTTTTATCTGCGCCTGCACAAGGTGAAATGGCCTTCTAAAATGGAGAAAACACACTGACTAGGACGGATAGCTTGGTCTTTTTCGTGCACAAGTCAATGTGACCTACGAATTCCGCCCGTATCCTGTCACTCTGTACTGGCAAAAATCGTGTCCAGCACCCCCGTCGCGCCTGCTCTTTCCCAACCTCCCAATGACGTCGAAAGTAAACAGACCCCACCCGCAGCCCAGCAACCGCATTCACCACGCTCACCTGGCTCACCTCACTCACACCTCACTCACCTTACCCAATCACACCAAACCATGTACCATCCCCATATCCCCTTTCGTGAATCGTCAGGCACCATCCCAGAGCAAAGGTCAAAAAAAAAAAAACGGACACCAACGGACAACGGACAATGGGGCCATTTCATTCGAACCGTTGGGTTTCCCGTCCCCGCCGCGCGGGAGCGCACGCGTTATCCACAGCCGTTCGAACGCTTCCAATCTCCAACAAGCGCTGAGTGACATGTTCCTTATACCCCCCCCCCCCATCCCAAATCCAGCCATCCAGAAAATAAAGTAGTTTACGAACATTCGTACCAACCACACTTCAAAGAAAATGCCATTGCACAGAAGTAAAGAAGAGAAGATGGCCCGTCTTCTCAGACCAACCCTCCAGGCCCTTGAGTCCCTCCAAAACGACCCTTCCTCGCGGCCTCCCGAACAGTTGAACTAAACCACCCCGTTTCAAGTCTGTATCACAACGCCGGCGCCAACAGTTAGACGCTGAACATGCCTGGGAGCTTCGTTCTTGTAGCCAAAGGGGGGCGGAATCATATTCACCAATTGAATGTCCGAACCTTGATATTATTGGTCTTGCACGAGCTCAGGAGAACAGACACACCTACGTTCACTGAGTCCGGAGAGTTCCAGAAGCAGTCTGCAGTGTGATCTCCCATTCATCGGGATGCCCGGAACGGGCAAGTGATTGACCCCGGCGGTCCTCCGTACTGAAATGGAAGAGGGGTGTGAACGTACAGGAGATCACCATTCAACGTCCATTGGCACCATAATCACGAAACAATTAAGCACATTGCAAACGATAGAGTAGAGTTGCTGTTCCAACATGTTTATTTCATATGCGGCCTACACGGCTCAGCCATGTTAGGGGTATCTTATCCTTGCCGCTAAAATAGGGAAATGAGATGGGCAGTTCATCCGCTACCAAATACCATACATCATAATAGCCCCCATTGACATTCCAAAACCCCCTTTTCCCTGCCCTTTCCAAAGGTTGGGGGCCTGACTGAACTACGTCCTTTTGTAGTTCTCAACAACGCCCAATGCCCGTGGCTTTGGAAGGGGGCAGCCGAGCCCATCCCAATGGTATCCTGCTAACAATCTCCTCTCAGTAGAAATGAAGAAAGAGAGAAAGGAAAAAAGAAAAACTACGCAAGGTAGCTAGCTAAGCGTAACAATTTGCTGAATGCCCTTCTCCCTAAAAGCACAAGAAGTGCGAACTTCCCGGAATGCCGATACAGGTTGTCTATCAAAATCGTCCAGCCGGTGTGTCGTGTGCCGAAGAAAGCACGACACACGCTTCTCCCCATAAGAGGCACGGCCGTGTCGTATAGAAGCACACGACACCCATGGCTCTTCCCGGGTTAGGAGACTGGAGAAAGTCTCCGCATACGCCCAGAAAAACACAACTTATTACCGTGTCCAGACCCTACAAAATTCAAAACGCCCGCGGGTCTCACCCGGGCCGCACAGCCATAGTCGGCACATACATGATTCGTCCTGTAAATGGTATAAAGATGCTTGGAAATATGAAGATAAAGGAGCAGAGCTCGCGACAGCTTCTGCTTTGGGTATAAACTTTTCCGCTACCAGAAAGTCGACCTAAGCAGTTGCAGAAGCAAAGAAGAAGAAGGAGAAATGGAAATAGGAAGCCAATCATATCGATACAGCTTTCAATCTGAGTGCCAAGTGCAAAAACAACGCTCGCTCTAATGAAATCGTGCAAAAAGTGAAAAACAAATGTGCGTCGCTTCATCAACTCGTCATTGTCGTTGCAATTCGATTCAGGTAAACGGGATGCGGAACTGCTCAAACTCGTCCGCCTGGCTACGGGTATAGGAGTCGGTCCGGCTTTCGGATCGATCACGGATAGCTGGTCGGTCCATGCGGCTGCGGCGTTCATCGGAGTAGACGGTATCCCTATCGCTACCACCAGCAATGCGTGCTGCCTGGCTGATGTTGATTTCGCCACCATCCTGGCACTGGATCTCAGCGTTGCCAACTCGCAGGACGGCGTGACCGGTGACTTTGATGGTGATATCGTCGCCGTCAATGGCAGAAGACCGGGTGGTTCGTGTTGTGGCACTTCGAAGGAAGTCGCTTTCGTCGCGGCTGTCGCTACTTCCACTGGACCTGCTGCTCTTACTCTTCTTCCCAGCCTTTGAGAGGGCCGCAGCAGTCAGAGGCACACCGCCGCCGCCGCTTACGCCGTTCTGGTAAGCCATAGCAGCGGCCTCTGCGGAGTCATACTTGGACTGCGAGTAGCTACCGCTTTCACCGCCAGCCATGTATGAGTGGCGGCGGCTACTGCGGGCGGGCGCGGGAGCAGGAGCAGGCTCGATCTGGTATGCGCGATGGCTGTATGTGCTGGAACCCCTTCGGTGACCACGGGGCCTGGCAACAACGCCGTCGTCGTATTGGTAACCATGGGGAACGATTTCCTGGTACATGGATTCTTCACCATCAAAATCGTCAGAGTCATAGCCCTGAGACATGATCTGTCGCTGCTGAGGATGAGGTTGAGGCGGAGGACGGAAAGCTTGTTGGGGGGCAGTCGTTCGTGAACGGGGAAACGCCGGCGGCGGCATCAATTCGCTGTCTCTGTCACGAACCTTGAGAGACGGTCGTCTGCCGATGGGGAGATTCTCTTGCTCATAGGTCGGACCGGGTCCATGGGGGTGGGCATGGGCGAGGCCAGGGCTGGGGTGGTATCCGTAGTTGTCGTACTCGAAGGAAGACGCCGACATGGACCGGTGTCCCATGGCCGACGAGGGCCTCTGTTGGAAGCGTTGGGCCAGGTTTGAGTGTCGGGGGCTGCTCGCCACAGGCGTAGGCGGGAAGTAATCATTTGACGGCGGCGGAGGCGGATGGTGCGGTGCCTGCATAGGGTAAGGGACACTTCCGGGACCCCAAGCGCCTGGTGGTTGGGTATACGAAGTGCCAGGTGCGGGCGCGAACGGCGACTGCACATGCGGTGATGGATGGATGGGAATCGGCATAGGAGCAGGACTAAAGGGCGATGAAGCATGAGAGGAAGGCGGTGCGTGGATCGATGGAGCAAATGGCGATGGGTTCGGGGCCGGAGTGAAGGGCAAGGCATTGTTCGCAGCATGCCATTGCTTATTGGAGGTAGGTGGTCGGGAACCTTGGCCATAGTAGCTGGCAGGACGACTTGAAGCTCGGGGACGCGAACCCTGTGCCTTTGCCGGTTGCTGTACACCGTACTGCGAGGCTTCTTCTTCCGAGAAACGTGGTCTTCTGTATTCATCTTGCTTTTGGGCGGTCTTTTGGGTATGGACAACGGGCGCCGTGTTGACGTGCTTTGTGGAGGGACGGGCTGCGGCCTTTTTAGCGGCGGATCGCTCGCGCTGCTGATGACGATCCTCTCTTTCGCGTTGCTCCTGGTCGAGGCGTTCTTGTTCGCGGCGTGCAGTCTTTTCATTCTCCTTCTTGAGACGGTGTCTTTCCTCTCGACGACCCTGCTGTCGGGCAGCGTCATCCCTTGCGGCCCTCTCGGCGGCTTTCTCGGCAGCTCGATCAGCGGCTTTTTGTTCAGATCGTCTCTTATCCCTCACTTTCTTGTCCGGGATAGCGGGGTGAACGGTATCGTCCGAGTCGGTATGGCCGTATTGCGGGGAGGCGGAGATTGGTTTTGCCATCCTTTCTTTATGGCGAGATTTGCCGCTGTTTGCCTTCTCCTTGGATGGGCTTCCTGGTGCTAGTGACTGGGCGTATTTGTCGGAGCCCTGAATGATGGAGCCAGTCTCCTCGTCGACGTCTTCGCAGTGGGCAACTCTTTTGGGCGCCATGGTGAAGCGGTGTCGATCGTCGTAATGGGTAATGGTGTGTTTATGTTGGCTCGGTAGTCGAGCGACTGGTGATGGGAGGCAAAGGTGCCTCGACAGAGGCGAGCAATCGTAGGTTCGTAGCAAGTGATCGAAAGTGTGGTGAACTGGGGGGGAAGAACTTGGCTGCGGTGGGAATCGGGAACTTTTTTGTATAAAGGGCGGACGAGAAAGACAGTGGGGATGCGGAAGGGGATGCGACCACTATCTGATGGAGGGAGGGCCCGTATTTGTGGGGATGAAAATCCGACCAGGATGAAGGGGGGTGTGAAATTGGGTGTGGGAGAAAATGAGACGCTGCGGATGCTGGTGCTGATGCTGGGTAGGTGTGAGGCCGGGTTACTCGTTGCTCGTTGTTGGCTGGTTTTCATAGGCAGAGAGAGAGAGAGAGAGAGGGAGTATTCAAGGAACAGTAAAGGTAGTCGAGGTATTATGGATCGTCAGGAGAAGCGCGGACGAGGGAGATGTGATGTTTGTCGAATCTGTTGTTGTGTTTCGTTGTATACAACGTGGGATCGATAGGTAATAATCCAAGCAACGGCGGATGACCGTGGCCGTTGGCGGGTTGTGGACGAGCGTGCTATCTTATTAATCCTGTCCTGCCTACCTACCTCACCCTACCTATGCTTTGCATTGCAGTCGAGGTACTTCGTTCGTACGGATAGGACAGGTAGCGTGAATGCGTGCAGTTGCAGTTGTAGTGTAATGACTGCGGCTGTGAGAGGAAGAGTCCGGAGCGAAGGGAGGGGAGGGCGAGGTGTGTGCGCAGCCCAGCAACTCATTCGCAGCACCACAAGTGAAAAAATAGCCTACAGAAAGGCCAATCGTGGGGACGGCCTGCGCTTGACGACCCGATGGAGGGGTGTGGTCACAGCAAAAAAAGGACCTGACAGCGGATGAGGTCTTCTCGTTGCCCGGGGTGCTCTGCCGCTCGTCCAGTGTCACTCCAATGGCCGGCCAGCGCTCGATGATAGCGAGCACTTCAAACTACCTCGAGTAAAGGAGGAGGAGGGGCGTGTGCCTGAGCCCGCAAATGGCTGTGAGAGCTCTGATGGATCTAGAGACTTGGCTCCGGCTTTGATCCTCGACTATCCGAGGCGGACGGGAGCGCTGGAACGGACTATGGTTTGCGGGAGACGGAGGAGTCAGGACAGGCCTGCAACGTTAGAGAGGGACGGAGAGGGAGACAGAGAGGGTGTGCGACAAGATGGCTGCTGGTGCTGCCCAGCTTGCAACGTCTCTCCCGAGTCGCAGAGTCGAAATGCCAGGGTCTGTGACTGTCAAGAACGTGTGCGCGAGTCTGGAGAAGCATGGGACCCAAGGAGGACAGGGCAATTCTTCGCCGTCGTCACTTCTCCCTGTCAAACTGTATCGAAATCGCCCAAAATGGGTGGAGGACAGAGATTGCCGGCGAGTGGGAACTCTCTTTTTTTTTTCTGGCCCTCGCTGGGTCCTGAGAGTCGGGATTCCTGGGTGGGAAAACTGCGACAACCCACACCAGAAACAAGCTGGAGCTAACAGAATAGCCTCAAGCTCCACCGCGTGGCAGCAAGGACCGTCGAAAGGGCTCAGCTAGAGTCTGCTGGACCGACGTCGAGCCAGTTCGTCTTGTTCCAGGAAGCTTCTGTTGGCTGTGGTTCATCCGCAGCACCGGCGTCAAACCAGGGAAACCCCTTCAACACAGCATTTGACCGCAACGTTGGGAACTGGGCGGTCCCCTGGGGCTCTGGTGGTGGTGCTTTTCGTTGGCGCCGGTGCCAATCGTCGCCGCTTCGAGTCACAGCGCCAGAAGCACTCAGGCCCAACTGTGGAGAAGCCCTTGTCTTTCGTTTCTTCCCGTCCGCGACCGTTGCAATGGATTTTCCCTCGAACGGGGGTCAAGAGCCTGGCAAGGCCTGCTGGGGTGATGCGAATTTGTGCGGCGCGCCAACAAGGAAGCCCTTTACAGCACAAAGTGCCCGACCTGGAACTTTCCATTCAGATCGATCTTCCGTTACTGTAGTAGCGCTGACGTTCGTGTACGCCCACGTGTTGCGATGCCGGACAACAGGGCAGCTTTGCTTGTGCGAGTGTCCGACCAAGGGCTTTTTTTGCGTTGTGCCCCGATGACAGTGTTTCCTTCTTCGTGTCGCCATTGAAATCTCGAATGCGACAGCAACCCCTTTCCTCAGCCAGACCTCCTTCTCCGTACCTACGAAGGCCCTAGAACAGGTACTCGACGGGGGTGTGGCCACAGAACAGACGGAAACAATCCTCTCTGAATCCTCTGCCAGCTGTCTGGATGAGACAGGATGGGCTGGCTCTCTTGGGCTGCGCTGCGGTACTAGAATCTGGCTGGTGGAGTGAGTCTCCGTGTGCGCGGGAGATCCACCTCCAGGGCCGAACCAGACGGGGGTGTCACTCAAAGATGACGGAGCGTTGCTGTCTGGTGCGTTGTGCCCTTTTCGGCTGGGATTTTTCGACTTCTCCATCAAATGGCTGGATTTACTGCCCGACCTTGTGGCTGGGCTTGGCCTTTGGGTATCAACGGCGAAGCGGGCTGACGAACGACATCACAAGCGTCCAATCGTTTGCCGCGCTCTGCGTCCTGCCAGACCTTTTTTTCTCTCCTCCTCTGACCAAAAACGTGTTTTCGTCCTCGGTTAAGATACTTAGGTGTGGGCGGGAAAAAGAAACAAAAAAAGAAGGTTCTCAGGATTGGTGAGGTGATCGACCGAGAGACAGCAGGTAGTCTGGTGCGCGCCCCATGAGGTGGTTTAGGTGGTTAACAACTCGGAAGTTGCGCGAACCAAACATCAGGAGACGTTTCCTGTACTTTCGAAAGTTTCGTTGTCATGCTGGGTAATGTAGGCAACCAGGCGCCTTCAAATGGTTGAACAAGCTTGAAGCAAAGTCTGCACACAATGCAGAACCACCCCATCGCTCTTCGGCATCGCATCGCCAACGCACTTGTGCCGGAAAGCCCAATCATGGGCCCGACCCACCCGGTCAGGAATGCAGATTCATGCAGTCCGGGCCCGCTCGCTTTTCTCATAGGGCGGGGCCGGGACGGCAATGAGAGTCATCGCTCCATCTCGGACTTGAATGGCTGCTGTCCGTGGCCAACTTGCCCAAGCACGGATTGGTCCCTTGGACTTGTTGAACGAGGCCATGTAAGATGGCATCACGATGCTGAATTACTGCAGTGTTGCACGTCTAGATCTGCCTCCCCGCGTCTTGCTCTGTCGGTAGGCATGCGCCTGATAGAGCTGTGTACGGATATCTTGGGGTACGATGCCCCTCGTCCCTCCGTAGTGGGTACCGATCTCGCTGGAAGAACGACACTGTTTACAGGAATAGCGTCACCGGGGTACACAGACTCGAGATCGGCATCATGTTGTTGTGGTCAACTCATCCAACTTTGTTCTCAAGGTGACTCCAAACGACGTGTCGCCATGACAGAGTTGTTCTCGCCTCATTGGTTTTGTGTCTCGGAGTCGAACGTGGTCTCGAACACCACACTATCGGCTCCGATAGGACCGTCTACATCAGCTAAATGATGTACTTTAAATTCTCCATTTGTACTGTACTGATATGTCTCCCCTCCGTTTATTCGCGTAAAGGTAGATTGCCGCGATCTGATACCGTTGCAGTACTCCAAGTCTGAATCATCCAAAGGAAAGGTGACATGAAGAAACATGCGCGATTCACAATCTGCCTGGTTGGCGCCGAGACCGTCCTCCACGCGTTGTACGCAACTGCGCATTCCGGCTGCATGACATGCACCCATCCCACAGGCATCAACACCGTACACCAGCGTCCACTGTGACAAAATCCGTCTAGCGCGAGGACATGCCGAAATGGGTTCGAGTGAGGCCCTCCCGGAGCCTCTCGTGGCTCCGTCTTATTGAGGAAGCTAGTCAAAGTTGGTCTTCTCCTCGTTGAGATGTGGAGCATCGTTGCATCCAAGGCAAAGAACGGGTCGCCAGTATCCTCGGTTCGGTATCTTGTGGAGAATGGTGCGCTTTCTATTGAGCACGTTCGCAGTCAAGTGCCTACGTCCTTTAACGTTTGAGTCGCTTTGTGTTTTGTGCAGAGCTGCCGCACCAGTCAACGACCGCAGTCGAAGTCATCGTCATTACGAAATGTATGCGAAGAAACATGGTTTGTGTGCTTAGAAATGCGGAGGCCGAGCAAACGGTTCTGACGAACGTCTTCAAGTGTATGTACCCAGACAGATCTTTAGATCTGATGCACGCCACGATTGCATCGTTTAGCAATTTTGCAAATCATTTACTATGGCGAGCCTGCCGTTTGTCCGATATGCCACTCTTGCACGCTCGAAATGCATGAAGCCGAGAGCGGACGCTGTTGCAAAGGCGCGATGGACTGACATGTCGATAAATCCGAGGCGGACTGATCGACAGGCGGTTGTTGGTTGTGGAGCGAAGAACTCGACACCATCTTGGAGCCACACCGCCTTTTCGCTTGAGGCATGATCCCTCAACGCCACCGTTGAAAGCGATCCCAACGCGCCACAGTGGTAGGTAGAACGTAACATGGCCTGTCGCATTGAAGTGAGATAGGATAAACATGGACGATATAATACGCAGCGATTCGGGAAGGTAATACCGTTGTGATCGTACCGTATGCGAACGCAATATCGACTGACTTTGGAGGCTTAAAATGCTGCAACGCCACTCGTCATTGGCAGTGTACATCGCCTTTTCAATGACCTGTTGCTGCGAGACCTTATCACTCGATGCTGAGCGGTTGTCCATCCGCTGCACGCCAGTCGGTTTCACTCGATGTTGAGACCTTGGAATGCCGGAGATGCAGGGAGCTTGTCTCGGAGACTCGGGCAGGTCCAGATCTGCCTCTTCTACGCCGCCCGATATGCGTGACGTTGCACGAGAGTCCACGATTCTGAAATTCAAGCCACAATTGACATGTAGGTAGTGGTGTATCAGAAGATATTGTTGGCCGTTCGTAAGACAGGAATCTCAACGTCGGCGACAACCGGCCTATGGTCAGACAGATAATCGCCGTCATCGAATTTGTTCGATAGCACGCCAAATGTCTTGATGGTAGCCGGGCTCGGATCCTTCACAAACAAAAAGTCGATCCTCTTCGGTTCCTCGTCCGGCTCGTCAAACGACGTGTAAGTGATTTCGTTCCCGTATCGCTTCGCCTTGGAAACCTGAGTTGAGACATCGACCATGCCAGACTCCGGTGCCACCATTGTCTTATAGGCATTGTCATCTGGGGTACTGTTAAAGTCACCCGCAAGCAGAACGGTTGTCGGAGGTTTTCCGCTTGCTCCTTTGCTCCACTCGCGAGCAATGTTGAGAAGAAGTTTGGCGCTCTGCTCTCGAGCCACGACGCCTATGTGGTCGAAATGCGTACTCATGACAACGATACGCGAGTCTGTTTGTTTATCGAGAAACTCCCCGACGGTAACGACACGGTTCAGTACGGCATCCCATCCTCTAGATGGCTTTTCTGGTGTCTTGCTCAACCAAAAAGTTTCATTCCGCTCGCACTGCCACCGTTCAACTTGGTAGAAGACTGGTGAAAATTCGCCACCTCGCTTGCCATCATCACGACCGAGACCTATATGCCCCCAGGCAGGACCGAGGTAAGACTGAATGTCTTCGAGTTGAGAGTAGAGGACTTCTTGCAGACAAATGAATGCTGACTCATGGCCAGTCATGAGGAAGTCCAACTGGTTGCAGAGTTTCGGACCCCGATAGCTCCACGGTTTCTCGTTGGGAGTGGGCTTCGTCGTTGCATAACGGACGTTCTGGCTGACTAGGCGGATCAGCATGGAACTGGCCGCTGCTGACTGTGGGTTGTCCAGTTTGACGAGCATTTTGACTGCGCAATAAACGATCAGTCGAGCTATGAGAGAACTTGAGATGTGTTGTCTAGACAGACTTGGACGGCGGGGGCTTGACAGTAGGCCGGGGCCGTGCGCCTTAGCTGCGGAGACTAGGAGTTGACGGCAGAACGCCCAGGGGAAGGTGATGGGCGCGAAGAGTAACAAGAAGTTGGAAGGGAAGGGATATGATGAGGTTTCCCTGACTCAGCAATATTCTGAGATGATGATGAGGTGTCGTTGGATGAATTGGATCTCTGACGTTAGAACAAAGCTGAAGCTCGCTTTACTTGAGATAGAACGAGCAGGCATGCTCCTGCCCCATCTCCTGCCCTGCGGCTGCCCCAGCACCTGCCCGCCCCGGCTCCCGGCTGGCAAGTGGGTCACGTGCTGGTCTTGGAAGTCGGCGGGGAAGGAAGCAACGGCCGTGGCCCAAGCTCCTGCATTCTTTGGCGATCCGGGGTCTGCTGGGCAAGGTAAAGTATTTTCGCCTCCCCCGGATCTTCCTCCATCTCCATGGAATTCCAAGCTGAGCAGCCAACCCATTTGCGATCCCTACCTTACATACCTACCAACCCCAACCAACCAACCAACCTACAGATACCGGCACAACCACCACGATCCTGTCACTTTAGTCAGCCTTGAAACATAGTCGACTCACGCCACGGACCATGGCAAGAAGACAAATTCGGACGGCGGGGTTTCAATCTGTCAAATACCACATTGGCGCCTGGCATTCCTGCTGATGCCTTCACCGCTAATCAACGGCGCCGGTCTCTGATGGAATGCCTTGGAAACGCTCATCTTAACAGTCACCAGTCTTTTGCAAGGTAGCTCGAAAGCCATCACACACTCCCACAGCTCCCAAGTCTTATCTCCGCATTCTCGTTGGATGCGCGACCAGCCCTCCCTCCAGCTCAACATCCCGAGACTCTGGATGGCGTTCTTACGTGGGAATGGGGGCTAGGTAAGGTAAGCTGGCGCAGACAATAGTCAAGTCTCACTGCCTCGCGGGTCGATTACTCACCATCTCAGGATAATCAGGGAAGCCTGGTGTCACCCGATCCATCCAGCCTTTCCCCAAAAGCCGGCCTCTCCCAGCAAGCGTCTTTACGCGGCGGGCTGATACCGGCACGACGACCCACAAACCAGTCACGTTCTTATCACGGCCCGCTGCCCGACTTCATTTTCGAGACGTGATTCAGGCCTCATGGGATGGCAGCGGCTACGGTTCTAGGAGATGTTCGTCCGCTCTTGTCAAATCCAAGTCATGACGCAATGTGTACACAGTCGGGAAACCAGCTGACTTATTTTAAGTCAAAGACAGGATTTTGCAAAGAAACCAGAGTTATTTAGACAAACTATCGACAATTCCACTTCAATACGGGCCTCACTTGAGCTGCTTCGTATTCCGCGAAGTTTCGGGGGGTTTCTCGGAGAAGTCAGGAAGGTTGGAGAGGTCAGAGGCCTCATAATCGAGAGACGAGTGTGCTGCATGCCTATCTCGCAGCGGTTCATGCACCGTGGCGATCTTCCATTTCTGAGGCTGAGGGTAGTGCAGGATTCGGATGGGTGACTGGCCGAAGCGAGCGTGCGAGCAGCAAAGGCTCCCGACTTCACCGAGGAATCATCGGAATATGGCTGCGTTTTGTCCAATCTGCAGTGCGGTGTGAGGTCGGTCTGTCGAGCTGACTCAATCGCGCCACTTCGAGGCGTCATGCAAGGTACGCCAGCCGCTCTAGCAAGCGTGGGAAGGCGATCAAAAACTTGTCCCTTGGTCAGTCTAGTCGACGGCTGTCTTGCACATTCCTTGCTCGCAGGTTCATGGCCTCGAAAATGCGCACCGGTCAAGCGACGGTGGGTTTGGCACACTGGGGGAATCGGCATGCTCGGTTGGCGCTATGGTGGGCAAGGTAGTCATCTGCCTGACTCGGCCTCCAACCAATACGTGTGGTGGTTGCAAATCTGTCTCAGCTTATTCATATAAGCCGCGGTAGTCGCGCGCCGGTCGACACACCCACACGGAGGAACGCGAAGCAACCAAAAGACCGGATTTCCTTGCGGTCTGCCAGGAATTGTGATAGATTTCAATACGAATCCCAGCCCGGGGCCTCAGCTTACCACCATTTCCGGATGCGTATCTCTGCTTCTGGCTGCACCCCGGCCATTTGGAGACACTGCACAGCTTTTTCCCAGACACTTATGGCGGGTGAGGAGTCACGCTCCTCATAGGCCTCTTCCACGTGGGGGTTGATGGTGGCTGGCTGCCTCGCGATATTGAGACCTCTGCACTGGGCAATGGGCACTGGTGACCACCATCTTCCAGCCATACAAGGCAGCTCTTGGCTGGGTTAATGTGACTGAGGCGAATCACCAGCCAGCCTGCAACCTTGTCGGTGTGCGTGCGTGCTTGCTTGTGTGGGTGGGTAGGTGAAGGCAGTGTCGGATAACGTCCGCCTTGCACATCCTCTGCCTGGCTGAGGCTGCGATGGAAACATATAAGTACGAGTACACCGCCTCGTCTCCAGCTCGTGTTCCTTCACCTAGGTCTGTCACGTTTCACAGCATCATACCATTGCTGAAACCACAGACAACATCAAGCTCCTTGCCACTTTCGTTTGGTATACTTTTGAGCCGGCGCAGACCGGCGAGGACTTAACTCGTCTTGTCAGTGATTTTACTGTTCAGACGCCTTTTCCCGAAACTATCAACACCAATAAACAACTACTACCAATTTAACACACAAGCAACCGGCACGATGCCTCAAACACCAAAGACACCCTCACGGCGAGACTCATGGCCACCAACCTTGGTGCGCCTCGCCCCTACAATTCCCAAGGACTACCCATCTCTCGACGACATCGACGAGGATCCCTTGACTTACTTTCTCACACCCGCGCCCGACCTGGAGGATGACGAGGACGACATGACCATGATGGACTTTGACGCCGGCATCGAGGACGACAGCGAGCGCGAGATTGTCCGCAGCGTGAGCCCCTCAAGCCTGGACGGCCTGGACAAGTCAAAGGGCCGCAGCAATTCGCCGCCCGTACCCGACCTCTCGGACCTCGCCACGCCGGACACGGACGACGAGGAGGAAGACTACATCCGTTTCGCACCGCACGGCTTCATGATCCCCTTTAGCCTGCGCGACTTCGCCACCGACGGTCTCAAATCCATGGCCAAGTCAAAGTCACGCCCTTCCAAGCCGTCGGACAACAGCAACGTGCTACTCTCGCCGTCGTCGTTCCCGCCGACTCGGGGCCGAGCACCCGTGCGACCGGGCGGCGGGCGGGGCCGACAGAGGACAACGTCGTACCGGCACCACCGGCCGCAGCACGTCTGGCGCGAGCCGAGCCCAGATGTCTGGTCTATCGAGGAGGAGACGGAGGAGGAGCTCCTGAGCGAGATGGGAAGCAGCGTCGGCGCCGTGAGCGACATGGAGGACGATCAGACGGAGGGCGATCAGACGGAGGCCGCGACGACATGTCCGAACAAGAGCGGAGACGTACAGGCTGCGAAGCCGAAGAAGAAGGTCCGGTTCTTGTTGCCCGCTATGGAGTGAGCGAACTGGGACAAGCATCATGGCATTCCACGGCGTTTTGGGGGTAAAGCATATTCTACCTGCATTGGGAGGTTCTTCGTCATTTTTACTTCGCTTCCTTCATTTCCTTCTTCTCTTTCGGTACACGCCGCCCTCTGGTAGGGGGTTATTTCTAACAGCATGCATGGGGTATGGGAGTTTTGCACAATACCCGTCATTTTGGATGGTAATTTGGGTCTTGGAGCATTTCTTCCATCTTTTTCGAAGGATGTGGCACACGGGCATCTTTTGGGGGGGGGGGGCATATGGGAATTCGGGGCACACACACATACACACAGAATTTTAGGTGCATAATTGGAAGCAACCGCTATGAAGGGCGGAATAAAAACCCTGATCTACACTTTTTCGCAACCTTCATCTCCTCGTCTCTAGTGTGGTGTGCATGCCTACTGCGCGATTAATGAGTTTGACGGGTGACAGGAAAGATGCAGGATGTGCGTGACTGACTGCTCTTCTTTTTAGTCTGTTCAGCTGAGGTCTGGTTGCAGGTGTAAGGCGAGACGAAGGGCAAGGCGAAAGAGAGAAAAGAGGGGTGGAGATACCCTTCACACAGCGACGCTCACACGCTCTCGATTTCTCGCAGAAAAATCAAGGTTTACTAAGGTACGCCTAAAGATAGCTGGCGGGTAATGAGAATCGAAGAAATCAAGGTTTAGAGGAACCGGTCTCTTTGCTGTGTGATGCTAGATCTCGATCGCGGGACCCACGCGGTAGCCTCAAGCTGGATGGAACAAGGTCCTGCGGAAGGTCTTGCGGAGGAGGAAAGTCTCACTTTTGGAGTCTCGAGTCTCAGCAGGGAGGAAGAGGACTCGGAAGGGCGAGGAGGAGGAGGAGGAGGAGGGCGGTCCCACACCACGTGCAACTGCGCGGCGGGCGGAAGAGACCTCGTGATGTTCGGGGCCCGTATCATTCTTTCGCTGCTACTCTACGCAGTTCGTCCGAGACATTTCTCGGGCGCTGTTCTACGTATGTATTTGTGCGTGATTTGGTGCCGTGTGTATGGATTTGGTAGCGATTTTGATTATTGGATGGGAAAACAGGGCATAATGGTTCGACTGCCTTGCTTTTGGACTTGTAAGACTATGGATACAATAACGAGAGTGAAAAGATGGGAAACTCGGCATGAGATTTTGAAAAAGACCGTGAGGGGAAGTAAGACCAGACCTTGGTTTTTGGTGCTATATGAAAAGTTGTTATCGCGAGTAAACAAACGGGTTGCATGTCCCAAATCCAAGGGGCCCCTGTTGAGGAGATGAGGCGGCGTCAATGCTCCATCCCCCTCCCCCGCTGACAGTTTGGCAGTGACAACGACGGCGACATGGGGCGAGGATGATGAGTAAAGTAAGTTACTTACCTATCAACCACAGTTTCAAGGATGCCCCGTTGTTGTCGTGTTGCCTGGGACAGCGACTGGCAGTCATGGCTTTCGAATACGATTTGTATTTTGGGAGTAAGACAACCACGTACTCGGAAACAAAATCGAGTCAGAGTGAGCTGGCCTTGGTCTGTATCTATGCCCGACGAGCTGCATTTGTTGGCAAGCATTGGCAGCAATTACGGAGTCAAATGCCGTTCGCTTCTTTTCCCTGGTTCGTCGATCAAGGGGAATGAATGATGGTGGGGGTTTTTTTTCCCTCTCATACGACGACTCACTTTGAGGAAAGTTGAGGGGTGATTTGTGAAAGGGGTCTTGGTGTCAACATCCGAGATCCGATCTAGCTGGCAGAAGCGAGGGGCTAGGTAGGCGAGGGAATTAGAGTCCGTGAGGCGAGTTGCTCAGAGATTGCGGATAGGTAGGTACGGATACTCAGATGAGAGAGCACTTGGACAAGGGACAAGGCGGGAAATGATGGACGGGGCGGGATTCCATGAGGACGGATAGTCCACCTTGGAATTTGCCAGGGGAGATTGGTGGCCTCGGGGAGATTTGGGAGCGACAGACCGACCATATCAGTAGGTATGCGTAAGCCTGGTAAATAATAACTTGCTGTGTGGATGGAGAGAGTGGAAAGCACATGCAGCACAGCAACAGCAGCAGCAGCAAGGAAGACGGGGCGAACAAGAATCCTTGCATTGATGCTACCTCACCTACCCACGTCCCGATGCTTCCCATTGACACCAAGTCTTGTTTCTTCCTGCGAATTGCGCCTGATGTCCCTGATGTCGAACTTGGTCTGGAACCCTCAGCTGCCTTGTACTCCTCTGTGTGCCCTTTGATTGGTCGCTAGCCGGGATGTCTGTGCTACAGGGCACCAACTCTACCTGATAGTCCACTAAACCTTGTAAAGGGTACGTACTCTATAGGGATAGCCCCACCTGTGTCGGTTTGTTTATGTCTAAGCTCCGGCGTCAACATCCACTGGTTACTCCGGCAGTGCCAGCTCAACGAAGCCCTCGATTGGACCAACTGCAAATGCTGCTGCTGCTGCTGCTCCTCCTCGACGAGAAGTCGAAAAGTCTTGTCCGCTTTGATATTGCGCTGTCTCTACCGCCTCTATCTCTTAATTCGTACATACACACAAAGTCGTAGACTTCATCACACATACAACGGGATTGTCTGTCGAGCTGCTCCCTTTTTTTGCGTGCCTCACCTCACCTCAACTCACCTATCATCATCCAACCAACGTCTGCATATACGGCCTGCAAAGTCGGCCTCCTCTCGACCAGATTCCGTCTCACCGATATACAGCCTCGCCATCGCCCTCGCTCCTACACACACATAATTCTGACGTCTGGCTTCTATTCGCGTTCCCGGTTGCAACCCCTCAGCTGTCAACAACGACCTTCACTGCCAACTCTGCCACATGCGCCCATAGGAACGCAGCAGATCATCCAACCTTAAGCGGCAGCATGCATCTCACCTAAGTCAGTTCTTCCCACCTTGTCGCTCGTTACCTCAACTAAAACGAAAGAGAGGGGGAGACGCACCTGTACGACACCAACTCGTACCTGCCCCACGCTTGCCCGCAGACTGGTCCTGTTACTGACTGAACCTTTTGCCTGTGTAGACAATGTCTCCCAAACCTCCCGACGAAAAAGAATCGCCGGACGCTGCACCGGCGGCGGCAGCGGCAGCAGCGACCACGAAACCCTCCACTCCCGCCACCAAGGAAAGCAATGCGCCGCCCACCACTCCCAAGGCCGCCCCTGCCCGCCCTCGCGCAGCAACCATGAAGAAACCACCAGAACCCCCGACTCTGCTCGCCGACTTCCTCAGAGGACGCCCCTCTCCACAACGTGTCGCCGCTGAGCGAAAGCGAAGAATGAGTCTGGATGCCGTCAAGGCCGAGCTGAGAGCGGAGATGCGGCAGGCCGCCGTCGCAAAAGTACAACAGCCCGGCGGCGTCAGGGAGCGCGTCAACAAATGGCAAAAGACGAATGCGGCGGCCATGGCCTCGGCTGATCCCCTGGCACCCCCCAGCGAGCCTACCGAGCTGGCCTTCCCGGGCGACACAGAGAGCGTCACGGAAGAGGACCGCGTTCGTATCAAGTTGCGGCAGAAGAGGATGTCGGCGCCAAAGATGTCAACCCCAAAGATCGAAGTACACAATGACGGCCCAGCCGACGAAAAGGACGAGACTGTCGAGGACCTCCCCGGTGGGGAGGCCAAGTTGGCACCCAAGAAGCGAGTCGTTAGCGACGACCATTGGATGGCGCAGAAGAGAAAGAAGAGTCCGACGAGGGCAAAATCGCCGAGAACCAAAGACGCCAGCCCAAGTCCCACCCCAAGCCCTTTGCCAAAGGGGTTCGTGCAAAAGACACCCATTCAAGCACCCATCTCCAAGAAGATTCAGGACTGGGCAGCAAAGGTGGAAATGCCAGAACCCCCACCCGTCAAGCAACACCGGGCTGCGAAATCAACAGATTCGCTCGACGGCAGCAGGATACAGGCAAGGCTCAAAGAGCTTCAAGAGAGACAAGCTACGTTGCCAAGGAAGACGATGGACGACGACGGCATCAGAGTTACGCCGATACGAACGAAAAAGCTCGATGATGACGGAATCCGCGTCAGGCCACTAAAAACACCAGCATCGGAGGGGTCTGGTGTCAAGACACCAAGGCCGCAGAGTACAGGCGCCAAATCCCGCGAGCGTAGTCGCGGAGGCAGCGCGCGGCACGAGTCGGCGGACGAGATCGTGGTGGTTGAAGAAGACGAGACCGCCATCGAGGTCACAGAAGATGCCGAGTCTAGTGTGCCGGCAACACCAACGCGGAAACCGTCAAAGGCTCGCAAAGTGAGCCACAAGAAGAAGGCGCCTCCACCGTCAGACGATAAATCCTGGGTTAGCACCTCGGAATCAGCAGTCAGGACGGGGCTGGACAACTCGGATCTTGCGCCAAGCTCGCTCACCAGCGCTCCGGGTGCGAAGCCCCTGGCAGACATTCCCGTGGGATTCTCTGCTTTCAGTGAGCTGGATCTGCCCCTCAACAAGACGAGGCAGAAGGCACAACGCAATCCCAGCTTCAAGGCTGCCGATGTGCTCAAGAAGGTGGTCACCGGCGGCAAGAAGATCCTACATGATGCTGTCGAGCCTCCGAGGCAGCCCGTCGCCAATCAGCCTCCCAGTATTGAGAAATGGCTCAACGGGACGGTCGATCCATTCGTCGACGAGCCGGCGAAGAAGGAGGAGTCACCCGCGCCGGCGCCCAAGAGGAAAGCGTCCGAAAGTAAGCCCGTCGACAAGACAAAGGCGCAAGACACCCGCAGACGATCATCGGCCGAACCTCGTCAGCGGAAGCCTTCCCTCCCGACTCAGACTGAGCTTTCGGAATCCACTGGGCTCACCGAGTCCACCCAGACAACACAAACAACCGACATGACTCAGACTACACAATCAACGGATTGGACAGAGTCAACTCTGTCTTCGACCGACCTGAGCGCGTCAACCGAAAATGATGAAAATGTGGCACCTAGAAATGTCGAAGAAAAGCCCAAGGAAAAGCCAAAGACACCAACTTCTGCTGGCGCCGCTGGCCTTCGCCGGAGAGCAGCTACGAGAAGCTCGCCGTCTCCCGCAAAATCGGTCAAGAAGCCTTTCCGTGAGATCCTCAAGGAGGCTTTCAGGGGAGAGTCCACTGGCCACCAGACTCCGCCTTCCAAATACATCAGCGAAGAAGAGCGAAAGCTGGAGCTGGATCAGGAGTATGACAGTCCCGGAGAAGATGACGAATCCAGACGGACCATGCGCCGCCGCTCTTCTGGTTCTAGCCGGACCTACTCTGATCGAACATTTACTGACGATTGGACGTACGATGATGAGTCCTCGGTGGCACCCCGCCGGAAGCCGCCAACGAACGGTGTACACGAGCTGTCGACGATTCTTGGATCTGCCGACACTCATAGCACCTATGATTCGGATATGACATCGGTGTTGTCCGAAACCACCATCACGCAGACCACTGGGCTTACGAGAAGCAATGTTTCGCGGCGGCGGAGCAATAAATCGGGTCTCAAGAGAAGGCTGACTAAACACTCTGATCTCGTGTCAGTCCTGTCTTTGCCAGACGAGAGCCAGGTGCCAGGTAGCCTCCGGAGCATCAAACCTAGGGCGAGTGTAAGAAAGGCTGCCAGCGTACGAAGAGCCAATGCTCGTCCAGACACGGTCACAACAAAGGACCTCATGAGGGAGTTCACCGATGACGAGAACTTGTACCAGCGGGAGCTGAAAACGCTGGTCGACGGTGTAGTCCCCGTCCTCTTATCTACTGTCCTTCACGAGGGCTCAGCGAGTGCCGTCGATCTCTTCGGCCCTGAGTCTCCTGGCCGTAAAGCGAGTAGCATGTCCAAATCCGTCGTCAATATGGGAGTTGCACTGGAAAAACTCAAGACCGCCCATAAGAGGGCATCTCATACGGATATTGACCGGCTCATTTCTTGGCTGCATACCGCCTCTCCCATATACGATAGCTACCTGGACGCGTGGCGCCTTGGATTCCAAGATCTCGTCGTCAACCTGGCTCCTGCTGCCGATCGCCTCGACGACGAGGACTCCCTCATCGGTGCACTGCCGCGCAACGCCGAAGGCGACGTCATTAACGAAGACGGAGAGAGAGTCGACGTTGCGCATTTGTTAAAACGGCCCTTGCTTCGCATCCGGACTCTTGCAAAGCTCACCAAGGTAATATTCTTTTTCCGCTGCATTGAAAATAGCCACGCTAACACAAAAGCCAGGGCCTTCACGCCGCTGTTGGGTCGTACGACACCCTTGCACTGGTTGGCGACTATGATATGTTGCAAGAAAAGGCCAAGCGTCGCCACAGGGAAGAGTCTGCGAGACTGGCTGACGAGGACGCCATCAACACCGACACGAGCAGAATCCGTAATCTCCGGACGCTCGCACCGATGGAAGCCGTCAAGATCGATCCCAAGCGGCAGGTCAGCGCAAAGGACCTTTTCTCGCTCAGCCTCGCGCACTCCAATGGACAACGCCTGGAGTGCCAGGTCGAACTCATCCACCGCGACCTTCCTGGTGCGAACAACGACAAGGGCGACTTGCTCATCCGTGAGACTGGCAGCGGCCGCCGTACATGGCTCCTCTTCCCTCCCATGCCCATGACTGTGATCTCAGCCCGCCGTGGTGACGCAAAATTCGAGCTCGTTCTTATGGTGTCGGGCTCGCACAACGGACGGCACTGGTACGAGCTACTGAGCCTCGTCACAGACAACAATGATCAAGTGGAAGACTGGCTCGACATTGTTGGCACGTCGCCCATGCCACCAAGAGAGCGGCTGCCAGTTGTCACTGAAGAGAGCCTCCCCGACTCACCGCAGCACCGGACCGATATCCCTGTGGGCGGCAAGTTGCACGGATCATCATCGAGAGACTTGTCATCTCCAGAGCCATACGCGCCCAAACGATCGGTTTCCAGTCGCTACCACAATCGCGGCTCGAGCATGCCGACCACTCCCATCCGCCGCAGCCCCTCTCCAGATAGAACTCCGACACAAGACTCGTACGATGAGGAGGACAGACATA